TATTTCTAGGCTGTAAAATTGGTATTTTTGAAGTTATAAATGGTTTTCATTTTCATTATGTTGACCCAGGGGGTGAAAAGTTCAAAGTGCTGTAAAAATATTTGCTCAATTATCTATAGGCTGGTTGGAGAAGGTGACAAATCCAGCTTTGTGGGAAAAAATTCCTACCCAAATGATTTCTTCATTTTCTGAAACAACTATTTCCCTAGTGTTCCAGAAAAATTTTCCCCGCGGATCGGAGTTGAGCAAACTTTTTTACAGCACTTTGAACTTTTCACCCCCTGTGTCAACATAATGAAAATGAAAACCATTTATAACTTCAAAAATATCAATTTTACAGTCTAGAAATGTATTATCAACATAAAGGAAAGTGATACCAAGGAATCCAGAAATGACGTCAAAAGTAACGTACGACCAAAGCCGTATAATATTATAGATAAAGTTGCGACAATTGTGAAGCCAGAAATTTCATATGACGTCATGAAAATATGACCTCAAGTGTAGTTAGACGCCATCTTGGGTCCCAAGTATTTGTACCTACTATCTATTTTATTGTTGTGTCGAAGTTTGCTTCCCCCGACAAGTATGTATATAGATATGTCAGAATACATTTTTTAAACGAAAAGTATAGCTGAACAAACTATTATTATTATTATTATACAGAAAGCGCACATTATTGTTATAAGAATAGTCTAATTCATAAGAAAGTGAAATAAAAGATACACCAAATAAAAGCGCAATTAAATTGCATACGCTTTTAAAAATCAGATTTTTTGTGCAGACGGGTAAAGTGAAAAATGAAAATTTAAATAGTAATTTGGGAGATACAACCTTTTTGCCTTCTAGCCGGCAAAATAAATGCCTGAAATTCCATGATTTTTGGTCTGGAGTCATTCCGGATTGTGTGTCAGTTTTCAGTCATCAATCATTAATTGTATCATCAATTTTTCGAAAATAGAAATTTCTTTAAATTGACTAATGGATAAAACATTTAAAATCAGTGTAACTTAAAATCAGTGTAAAATCAGTGTAATTCAAATAAAAGGTGTCTAGCGTGACATGTGTTTCGGGCATATGTTTCATCAGTGAAATTTGATACGAGATATCGCTCTCCGAAACTTTCTGGTTTCTTTTGCAATTTTTTTGGGGTAAGACGTTATCACTCCCCGCCCATGGGTAAATAATAATAATAATCTAATATATAAACCGCAAAAATTTAACAGATACAAATAATGTACATGTTATTCCACAGGTAGACAGATATTGAAGGGGCCCAGTGAAGGACTCTTTTGGCTATTTGCGCCCCATTTCCAATGAAATAATCATGTTGTTCTGATGCTCAACTAGTATCAAATATATATCGTGTCTGAGATTTGTTACAAATCGCCTCGAACATGTTCCACACATCTCAATTTTTATCAGCTTTTTTTTCAATCTATAAAAGCCTATATACATTCCTACAAAATTTTGTGTTTAGTTGTTTAGTCAAGTGAAACAAGAAAACGCATAGGCTAAATGAAACAATAGAACAAGTATACCTTTATAATGTCGACAAATATGTAAAAATAAGATACTTCTAAGATATGATTCAACCGAAAAGTCCTATATATGCAACATAGATATATAATATCTACATTCAAGTTAAACGAACTGCATCCAATCATTTTAAATACCGGTATAGCGTCGAGCTGAATAAAGGATATGATTTATTGTCATTAAAGGATCTATGGGTGGTTGGTAAACAATGTGTAACTAAAAACTATGATATTATTTTTATTGCCAACATTTCAATGCACCTAAAATGAATTATCGCTGCCCTTTTATTACCAAATTAATGTTGTTTTTTTCATTTTAATTTTTATTTTTTAAAATGATATTCTTTTACCAAATTTGGCAGTCATATTGAAAGAAATGCCCGCCACCAAATGACAAATACATTTTTTTTATTGATGTTTGTCAAATTCGATTTTTCTCACACATTTCGCTTGCATAACCACTCTCCGAAAATTCCTGAAGAACACCAAATTGAATTCTGTTAATCATGTCATTTTGGCCGAATTTGAGTATGATTTCGTCTGACATATTTATCATTGAACCAAACTGCATTGGTTACTTTTGCAATTTGTTTATGATGAACTGTAGCCCGTAAAACGTTATACCAAGAAAAAAATAAAACGTTTTGTTAAGTAAAGCTATATGACGCCATGACGTCATAGTTTTTATGGCGTTATAGTTGGGACACCAAAATGGCGCCTGTAAATGAGTTGTCGTAACTTTCCCTATACAGGGCTTTGCGTACGACGTCACCGTGACGTCAGAATAAAAAATGGCGGAACTATGACGTCACTGTGATGTCAAAATTCAAGATCGTTGACCACTTGATTGATTAGACGGATTTTGTTTTCAGTGTTGGCCAGAAACTGGGCTTGACTATAGATAACTGTGGTGTCCGATTTCAGAGAAATGTCACTGCTCCTATATTTAGACGTAGCAGCTCGGCGCTCGTGCTCATGATCCTTAATATTTGGTTCATAGACGCTGAACACGACGATTGGCGAGGGACCTGAAGCCAGGTGTTAAAGTTCAAGGCACGACAGTGCGAGTGCAACCAGAAGTTATTTTCCAAAGATGTATTACGGTGGCACAGCGCACAGGTACAGATATTCAACAGTTCTTCAAATATGAGTTGAGTGCCTTCCCGTCCTCACTGTTTGCAGGAGCTTTCATGCGACATGTAACCAAGTCCGATCTCGCTGAGCATTTGCTCAAGAACGTTTCACCCGTTTCGAACACTTCGCTCGCCAGTGAAATAACTGTCATTGATGGAGGTCTGCTAATCAACTTTGTAAGGTGGAATAAGGGTACGAATATCTCCAACATCTTAGAAAACTATCGGTCATTTGTAAAAAGATTTCCCTCGCCAATAGTCGTGTTCGACAGCTATGAACCAAATACGACAATTTGGTGAGGGAAATCTGGTTGTTTCGGATTCGGTAAATTGGGACTTCTTAAACATACGAACAGTGACATCTTTCAGGAAGCTAGCAAGACAATAGCTTCACCTGGAAGTTCCCAGTTCGAAGTATCTGAAGCTGGGGAAAGGTTATTCTGTGCAATGTCAATGTATGGTCACAAAAATGAGATATCTCCGACTAAAGTCCGGTACCTAAGGTACAAAGCTATGATCGCTGAAAACATTTCCATTCAAATCAATAGACTTCACTCAACAGCTGCTGCGGCCGAGCAGCATGCTCACCGCATTCATGTTCAGGTTAGAATTTGGGATGAACTAGACAATGGCGTCGATCCTGTGAATTGGGGTTGGCAAGTGATAGAGAATAGATACGTTCCCATCGCGACTGTTCTTCCATCAGCACCAGACAACGTTCTGAATTTCATCTGGTGTAAATGTAAATCGTTGAAACAACAATGCTCGTCATGTTCTTGTACACAGAATGGTTTGAAATGTGTTGAAGCGTGTGGAGGATGCCACGGGGAGGGTTGTCTCAATAGCGAACAAATCAGCATTGATTTAGAAGATGAAATTTGTACGGGGTAGAACAAATGATCCGAATGAATATTTTATTCCTCTTGTCTATTTGCTTGCTTTATTCACAACACGTCTCTGCCATTTTGAATTTTGACATCACAGTGGCGTCATAGTTCCGCCATTTTGTATTCTGACGTCACGGTGACGTCGTACATTACTATTGACGTCATTTCTGGATTCCTTGGTATCACTTTCCTATGTTGATAATATATTTCTAGGCTGTAAAATTGATATTCTTGAAGTTATAAATTGTTTTCAGTTTCATTATGTTGACCCAGGGTGTCAAAATTTCAAAATGCTGTAAAAAAATTTTGCTCAACTCCGATCGGCGGGGAAAATTTTTCTGGAACACTAGGGAAAAAGTTGTTTCAGAAAATGAAGAAATCATTTGGGTAGGAATTTCTTCCCGCAAATTTTCTACCCCGACCAGACTACTAGGCTATATATAAATACGGCTTTGCCAAGAACCACGCACTGACGTCACATATTTCTACCGACCATGCGTTTTCGATCACTCGAACACAATAGTCACTTTAAATGAAAAATGCACAAAAACGGGACAATATCTGAATAATGACAATTGTCAACTTATTCTTGGATATCTTATGCACAAATTAACATAACTTTGACATTATGATTATTAATATTTACCTGCAGAAAAAGGAGAAAATATTGAGAGTCATTATAAGGAGTTTATTTTATCAATGGCGGCGGGGAAAACAACAATCTTTCAGCTATTGACTTTCATCGAAAAATGGTATTTTTAACCAATGAGAAATAAGCTTACAAAAGTCAGCTGATAATAATGATTGTTATCTCCCCTTAACCACTAATGATATAAATCTTGCTTCAGACCACTGTTTAAACTATATGAATTAAAGCAGAATGTAATACAATTCAAAAATGAAAAATTTAGGTGGATATCCCTGCTTACCATTATACATATAGTTTCTATTTGTCTATAACTCTCACACATACAATCCATTCTATAAAACTAGGTTATTTCGGGATTAACATAAGGTTCAATGTTATTTCAATAATGCGCTTGCGTGTATGGGTCTTTAGCATGGGATCGATTTTGTTTTATATCACACGAAAGACCAGATGTGTTTCTTTACCATACGCTCCGCCGTGTACCACTGGCAAGGGCAAATCTTGAGAAACTTTCTTGGTCACCACCGGGACCGAACCCGACACCTCCAGGTTCGTGGGCCTGAGATCTCGTGACCAGCATGCTAGCAAGGGACAACTTATAGTCGTTCGTATGGGACGACAAACCGAGGCCTCGTATAAGATCCTTTGACAGTAAGAATTCAATATACGAGTAGGTCGTAGTGGCAAAATTCCCCTCAAAGCACACTGTATGGATTAGTCCAACTTCGGTAGAACAGTACAGGTTAAAACCCATTTTATTTCATGTCTTTTAATTATATTGTTTCAGATTTACCAATCAGATAATACATCTCAAACACTGGACACCCAAACCCGAGGACAAAATGGAGGTGGACATTTTCGAAGATATTTTGCCACCTACTACAATTAAACAACCAAAACCCAAACCAACTTTACATCCAAAATCCAAACCAAAACCCCCAACTATCTACCTCTCCCTCAAACCCATGCATTGTGTGGTCCATGGTATGAGGCAGCAATGTGTTGGACCATTCCATAAAAATCTAATAGGGGTGAACCAATGTCAGACTCCACTCTGTGTCTGCTTTCCACAAGAATTAGTTCTCATTCCTCCAAAGCCAATGGAGGATCCGAATTTTCCGCCAAAGAATGAAATGTTGCCAGTGGAACAGGAGATGTTGCATGATGAAGAATTTGTCGATATTTTAACGGCAGCGAATCTAAATCACTCCACACTTACTTTACTGAATCCTAAAACGCAGTATAATGTAGGTGACGTCATTACTGTGCGGATTAATATGGTGGATGGATATGGTAAGCAAAGGGTTGTCGGTGGTGATGACGTCAGAGTCCGTATGAAAGGAATCAACAACGTTCATCTGGCGAGTGGAAATGTCATGGATTTAAACAACGGAAGTTATACGGTGACTTTAAAAGCATTGTGGTCTGGAAAGGTTACGATAGAAGCCACCTTACCCTACACGAGAGAAGCGATAGCTACCATGTTTAAATGGCGACGGCAATACAGGACATTGTTTTATTATTATGGCCATTTTGTAAAAGGAACTCTAAGTGAATACACAATGTGTTCTCCGTACCCTACTATCCAGGGGTATCCTAGTATTTGTAACCTTACGTCAATGAATTACAACTATCCCTGGTTCTGTGGTCAACCAATCAATCCACTGCTTTCATGTGACGATTTTAAACTAGCCAATGATTTTGATTATACTCAGATACCCGTCACGCCAGCCCAGTTTATTACCTTCGACAGGTGAGGTATAATAGAGACTGTAGGTAACCTGCTCTAAATGACGTAATGCGTAAGCCACACCAATAAGTTACACTTGGAAAACCTCAGCTGATCCCAGTACCCTACATCTAGCCTCGGCTGTATGACGAAGTCCGCCATTGGAACTACTTTCAATTTCCCGGATTACCCAACGTTGTTGCCCATGGCGACGCCTTTGAAGAATGTTTTATCATACAAATATTTCAAAGTTTAAAGCTTGTTTTTCTTTCAATTTTATCCGATTTTCTTCAAACAAGGACAACTTTGCCCTGAAAATTCTAACACGCTTCGAACGACGCAATTTTGATAACTTTTTTTTAAAAGCGGCAAGTTTTCCGATTTTCTTCAAACAAGGACAACTTTGCCCTGAAAATTCTAACACGCTTCGAACGACGCAATTTTGATAACTTTTTTTTAAAAGCGGCAAGTTTTCCTAATAAGTAAACCGGTGCGGCATCGCAATTGTATGGGCGTAGGTACATATCACTTACCGTCATACAACCGAGGATAGATGTAGAGTAACGGAATCTTCCGAGGTTTGCCGAATACCCTAAGTTACTCGTTTTTCTGACGTGACGTAGGAACAAGCATGACGTCATTTATAACATGTTAACCAGTCTATGTATAATTAATTGTTATTGAAGATACATTATGTAAGATTCAGGTAAAGAGCCGCCCTTTCTCCCTATAATAGTTCGAAAACAGATAACGAAAAATGTATGTCAAATTACTTGTTTCTGTGAGAAGTTATCAGGACTTGAAGGAATCAGTATAGTCCCAACTGTCAAGTACCATTTTTGCGATAATACACGAAGTCTCGATTATCCATTTTTAAATTAAATTATTAAATGGCGATAATGTTTCAATGCATTGAAAATCGCATCAACCCGATGATCTAATTAATAACAAATATAACACTTTAAGCCGAAATAGTGGTCTTGATCGCCATTTTATTAAGAGCTAAATCTGCCTATTGCAGGTCTTTTGTCTAGCTTCATATTTTATATAAATTATTATTTAGACATTTATTCACATGCCAAGCCCATAACCAACTCTCTAGGTCCTCGGATGGCAGAGATCTAAATGGATTATAAATTTAAGTGGATAATCGAGAATTAGTCACGATTGTCAAGTACCACTACCACGATAATAAACAATCTTCGCTACGCCTTCAAACGGTCATTTCGGATGGGACGAAAAACCGAGGTCCGGTGTACACATTGGCGTGCACGTAAAAGATCCCTTGGCAGTTGGAATTCTATATAAGAGTAGGCCGTAGTGCCGCTGTCCGGGCAAAATTTCCCTCATAGCACACTGTATGGCGTATGCCCGTCTTCATTAGCCCAGGTTAGGAGCATAACAGTAGGACGTTAAACTCCATTTCATTTCATTTCATTTCAAACGGTCATAAATCCACTCAGAATAAAGTAATTTGAATGAAATTTTCAATATAATCATTTAACATTAACAATTTTTGGACCAGGAACTGGTCGCTAACCGCCACCCATCTTGTTCTTGTTCGTCTTCTTGGGGTGACGCCCTTCGAAAGAGCCTAAGGCTCCGTCAATTAATGTCCGATCGACATGAAAATTGGCACGCTTCTTCTTTGAACAATTCTGCATCGATTTGGTGAATTGAATTTTGAAATTTCATCCCGGTCCATATTAAGATCGTACTTGTTAAACTATTATAGCACGAACGGGCGGCTCTTTATCTAAATCTTACATAATGCATCTTTAATATAACTATTATAGCAAGAACGGACGACTCTTATCTAAATCTTACATAATGCATCTTGAAAAGATGTAAACAAACTACATGTAATTGTAGACTTTCATTAAAAAAAATTTATTTTCATATTTTACAGACTCACGACAAAAGTTAAACTGAATTCGGTTATTAAATTAGACATTTCTCCGGGTAGGTACTCATTCTTATTTTGCTGTGATCACGTTTGAACCAATCCAAACACCAACGAAGTCTTAGTCTCGGACACCCAGAACCTTGACTTTAGCTAAATATATAGTTTCATTGACCATGCGTACCAGGACAACTGAACCTGACCTTCCGTACGTTGAAGAGTAAGGGGTTCTGGATATCCGAGTCCAACAAACTCTATATTATAGAATGTAAAAATCGGTATCTTCAAATATAGCATTACAAATCATGAATATTCACCAAACCCAGTAAACATGTATTCAAACCCCTTTCTTCAATTGGACACAAAAATCGCCATGCCATAGCGGGTAAGGCGGGGAGAAAGGCTATAAAATTTGCACTAAGAATCCATGGTTTCCTGTGTCCACTTGCTTACACAACAGAATATCCGACCACCTCAAAGAGAGGGAGAGAGAGAGAGAGAGGGGGGGGGGGGGTAACGTCCACTCGACACAAACTATGTCATTTCGGGACACATGGTTCAATTTTATTTGCATGATTCCCGTGCGCGTAGGTTTTTTTACTTTGTGGGGAAACAGGGGGACCCCGAGAAAACCCAGGGGGTTGGACAGGCGGCCTACCCCTGGTCATGTACAAGCGGGGAATCGAAACAACGCCATTTGGCTCAACGACGGTCCGTATTATCTAACTTGCACGCGTTAAAACATGCGGTAATCCAACCCTCCTTGCTCAATAAACCTTGTTGCCATATTGACCTCTGATTGACGGGGATCTCTAGGGAGAGTATAAATGGGCGAAACAAGGGCACAGTAAATGGTTGGTGACAACAGCATCCGATTAACAAATCCAAGTCCGCGCTCTCGAGCCATTTCTCGTTATGATTATTTATTTGTTAAATAATATATGTTAATATAATTCCAGGTTTAGATCAACAAAAACAGGTCACGTGCAACAAACTCCCGCGTAAACAAACATGGGATATCACCATGCCAACCGGTTACTTCGAAAAAAGGGAATGGAAACTTTTAAAATGTAAAAACGATTTAACAAAGGCAGACATTATGTCGTGTCTGCGAAACACGACCGTGATATTATATGGTGATTCAACGACAAGGCAGTGGTATAAGGTGTTACAAAATGTCACGGCTTGTGAGCAAAAAACAGAAAAATGGACAAAACCAAAGTGGTACGAATATTCCAAGTGCTACCATGATAAAATGAATTTCACATTAATATGGGCTCCCCATGTGTTTCCGTTTCCAAATGGCAGAAAGGAAGTGAATGGCAAATCAAGTTTAAAACCTGCTGTGAAAACTTTGGAGGAATTGCCAACAAATGGCAAAATTGTTTTCGTTTTACATTATTTTTGTCATTACGCTCGACAACACTATACATTATTCCGAGATCAAATTCGATCTTTGAAACCAGCTCTGAGAAAAGCTTTGAGTAAAAATAAGGATTTACATGTGGCCATCAAGGCACCTCATGTGTTCTACGAAACAATGTGTCCGTCACATTTAAATGATTATCCCGGTCCAGTTTTTACAGATATATTACAAAAAGAACTGAAGGAGTTTCAGGATTCCGTGTGGTATTTAAATCTATGGGATATGAACCTTGCTATAGATAACGGACCCATACATCCACCTAATTATGTTGTTTGGCAATACCTTAAAATGTTATTCGGTTTTACGTGTAAATAAAAAAAAATATAATATTTATTATGAACAGATTGGGTTAGGTTGTATAGTAGTTCTTTAACATCTTACATCGTCCCTGTTTTGTCTCCCCTACCCCCCCCCCCCCCCCTCGTGTTTATTTGAAAATAAATGTATATAAATAAAATAAAAGACGTCGCCGCGATTCACCCCTACATATGTCGTATTAAATTCACCAGCATGACGCGTGAATGTCTTAGGCCTGGATTCACTTTAATTTTGGTCCCGGGCGATGGGTCCGGCGTGAATTAGGTCCTCAGGCGAAGCTGGGTATCTTGCTAGTACAGATATAAAAAGCACACAAAATCAGAATGGGTTTAATTTTATAGTTCTGTTTACAATCTCCTTGTTTAATTTTAAACAAGCATTATGCAAGAGCTAAATCTGTCCATTATATAAATAATTAATTAGACATTAATTAACTTACTAAGACCATAATCAACTCTCGATGCCATCGGGTGGCTCAGATATTAAGTAGATTTAAATACGTTTCCGGTTGATTCGGTTACCGTAAATATGGATAATTGAGACTTTGTTTATTATCGTAACAACGGTAGCAATGACAATTGAGGCTACAATGTTATTGTAACAAAGAAAACTCGGCTCAGAGTGATTATCTATTTTAGACCTATTATATCGAGAGGCGAGAACTTCATTTCAGGAGTACCACACTACACGCACTATGCACACACTACACACACTATACACATTACACAGACACACACTACACCATATTCCCGAAGCAATGACCCGCGGAATCCCTCTCTGGCCATTGCTGGATTGACTTCTGATACTTGAGCTTTTGAGGGAGTGTGTCTTATCTTCCCTTTCAATCAAATCTATCCAAAGTACAGCAACATGACAGCCCTGAGGTCTTCCCTGAAACTTTGGACAGTGATTTAAGGTATTTAAAACGGTGATGGCATTGTTAGTCTCCAAACAGTATTGTTTACATTATATCCGTTTTGATAGCCTCGTTTGTCACGCAATTAGTTTTTCTACATTATTCTGCTATGTACTGGTTAATTGGGCGTAAATTTCGTGAGTCATGACCTAACGTTATGTAAACATATTTGGTGCAATTTGGAGCTCTGGTTAAAGCCTAATGAAAATGTTACGCAGTTAGCAAATGGCTGTCAATCGGACTATTGACCAGTCATAATTTGGAACAGAAATTTGCTTCCATTACAGAAGTGTTAAGTGTGATTAGGTCTAATCAAACGAAACACTGCGAGGAGTATGACACTACACACACTATACACACACTACACACACTATACACACACTATACACACTACACGCAAAACAAACACCGATAAGACAAACCAGCGGACAAGACAAAATTACACAGACAGTGCAAAAAATAAACAACAAAAATATAATACAAGGTACACACTGTCTTATATCAGCGACAGAATAATATTTATTTATTATATACATTGTTCTAGAGTTCAGGGCATCCATTCTGCCAGTCTATTACATGTATATATACACTATCCGTTCTAAAGTCAAGGGTTTTCTATAACACGGTTTTATTATATATAATAAAGGGACACCACCCTTCAATGTCCGTTCTGAAGTCCAGAGGGATTTCTTTAACAAGGGTTACTTCCGTCACATGCAACAACTTATTGAATTACGCCCCAGACAACGTTTCCATTGTTTCACAACTTGCATATATCTTGAGTGTGATGAAGTAATAATGGTACCGAATCTGAACTTCCTGGCATCAATTATTAAGCTTTATCATGATGGTGGTGGTGGTGGTGATGATGATGATGATGATGATGATGATGATGACGCTAAACATGCAAGTACTTGGAGTTTGCAAATGATGTTACATCTGGAACGAACAGATGTCGTCATTGTATAATGTAATTTTCTTTTTACATAAATGTCACTGTCTCCTTGGCGTAACGCATAATGACGTAGTACACATGCATTACAAAAGACAGATCTCGCTTTTATTGCCCGGATAACTCGACACCAATATCTTTACATAATGTTTTAGTAAGATCTAGTTCAAATCGGTGTAGCGTGTAGCAATACACCATGTTTTGGAGTTACGGTGGCTCCCTCTATCATTTCTAGTCTGTGATCTTTGGATGGTTTAAATGCGAATTTTTTCACCATGGTAGCCGTCGCCATTTTGGCTTCCAGAACAGCGAATCGTAAACCCGCGCACATTCGTGGTCCTGCACCGAACGGTATCCAAGCATACGGATGTCGACTTTTCGAATTCTCGTCAGAAAATCTGAAAAAAAGTAAAAGACGATTACTGAAAGATGGATAGAGTCAGTGAACGAAGTCTAATTAGCGAAAGGGAAGTATGTGAAAGGAGAAATGAACAGTGGACGAAATATGAATGGAGGGCGGGGAGGGGGGATATAGGGTGAAAGGGAAATGGGCAGTGGACAGTGGATCAAATCTGAATGGTGGAGGGTTAGTAGGGTGCTGGTCAGTGGACAAAATCTGAATGGAGGAGGGGATAGGGGAAATGGACACCAAACCTGAATGGAGGAGGGGGGAAATGGACACTAAACCTGAATGGAGGAGGAGTAAGGGAAATGGGCAGTGGACCAAATCCGAACTGAGAAGGGAATTAGGGGTTTGGGGAAATGAACATTGGACTAAACCTGAATAGAGGTGGGGATGGGAGGGGGAGTGTGTGTGTGTGTGTGTGTGTGTGTGTGTGTGTGTGTGTGTGTAGGGGGGGGGGTTAGTGGACCAAATCTGAATAGATGACGGTGGGGTGGGGGTATTTACACGGTGTGATGTAGCCACAATTGATTTGTTCATAATACAGGATCACTCTAAATTAAGTTTTCTTCCATTTTCTGAACAATTGGTAAAAAAATGTTATTTTCTTGGTGATTGATACGTGTTTTATCACCCAAAATAACAAAATATGTCATATTATATCTTACAGCGCTAGCTTCAAAATGGGAATTTTATCATATTCAACGCTCTTAAAAGAGTTTGTTACATTCTTTGCTTCAGTTTCATATGTGCATACAACATTTTCGATAAAGATATGTTAGGAGTTCTTGAAGCTTGGTCAATGCAAATATACTTTTCACGTTTTTATATAATAAATGACATGCTTCCATATACCTTACCAGTGTCGGTATTACGCGGCTTTATTAAAATTTCAATTATCCATAATTATCCATGAAGCGAATCGAGGACAACATAATTGGGGCTTTTTTTTTAAAAAAAAAAGGTAGTGATTTTTAGATAAATAAAAACCCCGGGCAATTTGGTGCAATATTTCCGAGAAAGAGAAGCAAGAAATGAAAGACAGTCGTGCAGAACGAACAAAATAAATTTCTTTTAGCTATTTGAAGCTGGGTAAAATGCAAACTTTTATTACGTTTTAATGGTTATTAATTATTAATATACTCAATGCACCTTATGACAGTTTATATAAATGACACTCAGTTGTACACAGATTACACATCTATTGTTTCTAAACAATGACGACCAGCTGGGCGAAGCGATATCCAAAACATTCTTAAAAATAATAGTTATATTTAAAAAATTTTCAACTTGTCAGGGTAGGCCTCGAGTCTGATTTATAATCGTGGGAACGTGTAGTATTATGACAACCCATAAATGAAATGAAATGGAGTTTAACGTCCTACTGTTCTGCTCCTCTGGGCTAATAAGACGGGCATACGCCATACAGTGTGTTATGAGGGAAATTTCGCCCGGGCAGCGGCGCTACGGCCTACTCTTATATCGAATTCCAACTGCCAAGGGATCTTTTATGTGCACGCCAATGTGTACACGTGACCTCGGCTTTCCGTCCCATCCGAACGACTAGACAGCTGTCCTTGTCAGGCCCTCCATCCTGCACCTCCGACAAGAGGAAACCACGCCGGAAGAGAACCCATAAAGCGGAAAGCTAACTAAACAATAGCAATATTGCAATTTTATACAGAATTTCGGTTATTAATCTGAGAGACACCCCCCCCCCCAACCAAAAAAAGGAAAAGAAATTGCCAATAGGAAAGCAGGGACAGATCCCCTCTATATCCACGTATAGCGCGATTTGGTTTGTTTTACATAATTCTCATCCGTCGGCTTTTCGGGTAGAAATCGTGGAATAATTTTGAAGGTTTTGATGTTTAATGACAAACAAACCAGTGTTGGCATTTCTTTCTAAGTAGATCTTCATTATGGTGGTTGTTAGCCATGGAAGTGTACAGGGGTCAATAGCGCGATAAATACCGCAATATTAAGTTGGTAATATGTTAACATATTGTAATTGTTATGAAGATTTTATCTCTAAAAAGACAATTTTTGTCGAGTTAATTAAATAACTCACTATGTTGTATGTCGTCATTTCGTTTTAAATGCACACGCCGAAATAGCGCATGGCAATATTTCGCGAAAATGTCGACATATATTACGACGAAATGGAATATGTCGACAAAGCTTCAGAATAGCAATATCTTAATGCAAACGGGCACATTTAAATCGAAATGGAGACATATAACATAGCGCGTTGCTCATTCAACTCGACAAAAATTGTCTTTTCCGAGATAAAACCATCAGAACAATCACAATATGTTAACATATTACCAACTTAATATTGCGATATTTATCGCGCTATTGACCCCTATACGCTTCCATAGTTAGCGGCCATTCTATATTCTCGACACGACAAGTCGAAATAATTGCATGTGACAAGTCGACAAAATGTACTCGATAATCGTCGCCTTCATTTTGTCGATTTGTCGCCTTCGACAATTGCAATTAAATGGTGTTTAACGTTCCACTGTTCTTCATCGACAGGGCCAGTGAAGACAGGCATACGTCATACAAATGAAATGAAATAGGTTGTAACGTCCTACTGGTCAGCTCCGACTGGGCTAATGAAGACGGGCATACGGCATACAGTGTGCTATGAGTGAAATTTTACCCGGACAGCGGTGCTACGACCTACTCTTATATCGATTTCCAACTGCCGAGGGATCTTTTATGTGCACGGCAACGTGTAAACCGAACCTCGGTTTTTCGTACCATCTGAACTACTAGACAGCTGTCCTTGTCAGGCCCTCCGTCCTGCACCACTGACAAGGGGTAACCACGCCGGAAAATCTCGATGAACTTTCTCGGCCAACACCGGGATCGAACCCGCGACCTCCAGACTAGCGAGCCAGCGTCTTACTTACTTAGCCACCGTGGCTTCCCATACGCCATACAGTGCCTATGAGGGAAATATTGCCCCGACAGCGGCTCTACAGCCTACTCTTATATTGAATTCCAACGACAAGGTATATTTTACGTGCTCGCCAAAGTATACACGGGGCGTGGTTTTTTCGTCCCATCTAGACCACCATGCGTTGCTGTGCGAGCTTGCGTCTTACTCACTGAGCCACTGTGGCTATCCAATTTGAAATCTAGACAAACAAATATTTACCCAATTAAACGTTTACCCTCCACGTTATTTTTGATTCCATTGAAATATGTAAAAGACATAATAATATTCTTTTGGGAAATATTTAAAAAATAATAAAAGTTTCAATACAGCAGAAGAAACTGGTCCAACAGGCTTTGCGATTTGGAGCCATATTAGGATTTGCTAGCTGCATTGGGAAAAAGCGGCAATACTATATACCGGAAAACAACCGGAAAACACCGGAAAAACTACCGGAAAACACCATGTTATACTGAATACCGGAAAACTTCGGAAAAACACTAAATACAGGAAAACACACTAAATACTGGAAACACCCTAAATAGGTAACCCAGAGCCTGGCCCTCTGCTTGCGGGGAGTTAGGGTTATGGTTAGGTTTTTCGGGTGTTTTCCAGAGGACCAGGCTCCGAGTTACCTATTTAGAGGTTTTTTTTCCGGTATTTAGTGTATTTAGTGTTTTTCCGGTATTCAGTATAACATGGTGTTTTCCAGTATTTTTCGGTTGTTTCCCGGTATATAGTATAGCCCGGAAAAAACTTAGCTGAGTGATACTTGTTTTACTTTCAGGGATTTGTAGGGCGCCCAATCCCAATATTATTGTACTGTTTTAAATTGTAGACTTTATTTTTTATTCTATTCATTCATATAAAACCAATTTATTACAATTTTATAATAAAATGTATAAAACTCCGACTTCGAGTTTTGACTAGCATATGAGAGTGAATTTATGGAAAATACGGAGGCTTATATATGTATAGTTCACAAGCAGTATCATAATATAGATTTGTGACGAGAAACTAATAAGTAATATAAATAGGGCCTACTTAATACCCTATAAAGTTTTTTCACAATTGGTTTAAAAATTAGAAGTTTAAGTGGCTGAATCAATACAAAATTATATTTTCAATGGGCTGCTAATGTGCTCAAAGGGGGTCTGTTCGCGGATATAATGTTGATCCCACTCAATTTATATTATTGATATACACTTGTAACGTCCTCGGATGTAGGTGTGTATGTACTAGGTTGTTGGCGTTCATCAAGTCCCCATGTGTCGGTATTGAAACATAATATGCGTCCTCGGCTGATTACATTATCGCGATATTGTACCATACATCAATTTTTATACGCCCACATTTTCATGTCCACAATTGTCTGTGAATGAAATATAGGTTTAACACCCCAAGATCCCGGTTCCTTTCGATATTGGCATGTATCGGACCGTAACTTCATAGACTATGGCCCCTGAATGTAGGAAAAGTCACGATTTTAGCTTGTGAACACTGTAGAGGACACAATTTTTATCCGATTTGGTTTAAACATGAAATGTATGTGTGTGTGTGTGTGTGTGTAGGGGGGGGGGGGGGGTAGTGGACCAAATCTGAATAGATGACGGTGGGGTGGGGGTATTTACACGGTGTGATGTAGCCACAATTGATTTGTTCATAAAAGCTGCCGAGGTATCTGTATAAAGTGGGTTGGCCCTGTTAACAAGTTACTATTTATCACATGACCTGTAAACTCTTTTATACAGAATTTCGGTTATTAATCTGAGAGACACCCCCCCCCCCAACCAAAAAAAGAAATTGCCAATAGGAAAGCAGGGACAGATCCCCTCTATATCCACGTATAGCGCGATTTGGTTTGTTTTACATAATTCTCATCCGTCGGCTTTTCGGGTAGAAATCGTGGAATAATTTTGAAGGTTTTGATGTTTAATGACAAACAAACCAGTGTTGGCATTTCTTTCTAAGTAGATCTTCATTATGGTGGTTGTTAGCCATGGAAGTGTACAGGGGTCAATAGCGCGATAAATACCGCAATATTAAGTTGGTAATATGTTAACATATTGTAATTGTTATGAAGATTTTATCTCTAAAAAGACAATTTTTGTCGAGTTAATTAAATAACTCACTATGTTGTATGTCGTCATTTCGTTTTAAATGCACACGCCGAAATAGCGCATGGCAATATTTCGCGAAAATGTCGACATATATTACGACGAAATGGAATATGTCGACAAAGTTTCAGAATAGCAATATCTTAATGCAAACGGGCACATTTAAATCGAAATGGAGACATATAACATAGCGCGTTGCTCATTCAACTCGACAAAAATTGTCTTTTCCGAGATAAAACCATCAGAACAATCACAATATGTTAACATATTACCAACTTAATATTGCGATATTTATCGCGCTATTGACCCCTATACGCTTCCATAGTTAGCGGCCATTCTATATTCTCGACACGACAAGTCGAAATAATTGCATGTGACAAGTCGACAAAATGTACTCGATAATCGTCGCCTTCATTTTGTCGATTTGTCGCCTTCGACAATTGCAATTAAATGGTGTTTAACGTTCCACTGTTCTTCATCGACAGGGCCAGTGAAGACAGGCATACGTCATACAAATGAAATGAAATAGGTTGTAACGTCCTACTGGTCAGCTCCGACTGGGCTAATGAAGACGGGCATACGGCATACAGTGTGCTATGAGTGAAATTTTACCCGGACAGCGGTGCTACAACCTACTCTTATATCGATTTCCAACTGCCGAGGGATCTTTTATGTGCACGGCAACGTGTAAACCGAACCTCGGTTTTTCGTCCCATCTGAACTACTAGACAGCTGTCCTTGTCAGGCCCTCCGTCCTGCACCACTGACAAGGGGTAACCACGCCGGAAAATCTCGATGAACTTTCTCGGCCAACACCGGGATCGAACCCGCGACCTCCAGACTAGCGAGCCAGCGTCTTACTTACTTAGCCACCGTGGCTCCCCATACGCCATACAGTGCCTATGAGGGAAATATTGCCCCGACAGCGGCTCTACAGCCTACTCTTATATTGAATTCCAACGACAAGGTATATTTTACGTGCTCGCCAAAGTATACACGGGGCGTGGTTTTTTCGTCCCATCTAGACCACCATGCGTTGCTGTGCGAGCTTGCGTCTTACTCACTGAGCCACTGTGGCTATCCAATTTGAAATCTAGACAAACAAATATTTACCCAATTAAACGTTTACCCTCCACGTTATTTTTGATTCCATTGAAATATGTAAAAGACATAATAATATTCTTTTGGGAAATATTTAAAAAATAATAAAAGTTTCAATACAGCAGAAGAAACTGGTCCAACAGGCTTTGCGATTTGGAGCCATATTAGGATTTGCTAGCTGCATTGGGAAAAAGCGGCAATACTATATACCGGAAAACAACCGGAAAACACCGGAAAAACTACCGGAAAACACCATGTTATACTGAATACCGGAAAACTTCGGAAAAACACTAAATACAGGAAAACACACTAAATACTGGAAACACCCTAAATAGGTAACCCAGAGCCTGGCCCTCTGCTTGCGGGGAGTTAGGGTTATGGTTAGGTTTTTCGGGTGTTTTCCAGAGGACCAGGCTCCGAGTTACCTATTTAGAGGTTTTTTTTCCGGTATTTAGTGTATTTAGTGTTTTTCCGGTATTCAGTATAACATGGTGTTTTCCAGTATTTTTCGGTTGTTTCCCGGTATATAGTATAGCCCGGAAAAAACTTAGCTGAGTGATACTTGTTTTACTTTCAGGGATTTGTAGGGCGCCCAATCCCAATATTATTGTACTGTTTTAAATTGTAGACTTTATTTTTTATTCTATTCATTCATATAAAACCAATTTATTACAATTTTATAATAAAATGTATAAAACTCCGACTTCGAGTTTTGACTAGCATATGAGAATGAATTTATGGAAAATACGGAGGCTTATATATGTATAGTTCACAAGCAGTATCATAATATAGATTTGTGACGAGAAACTAATAAGTAATATAAATAGGGCCTACTTAATACCCTATAAAGTTTTTTCACAATTGGTTTAAAAATTAGAAGTTTAAGTGGCTGAATCAATACAAAATTATATTTTCAATGGGCTGCTAATGTGCTCAAAGGGGGTCTGTTCGCGGATATAATGTTGATCCCACTCAATTTATATTATTGATATACACTTGTAACGTCCTCGGATGTAGGTGTGTATGTACTAGGTTGTTGGCGTTCATCAAGTCCCCATGTGTCGGTATTGAAACATAATATGCGTCCTCGGCTGATTACATTATCGCGATATTGTACCATACATCAATTTTTATACGCCCACATTTTCATGTCCACAATTGTCTGTGAATGAAATATAGGTTTAACACCCCAAGATCCCGGTTCCTTTCGATATTGGCATGTATCGGACCGTAACTTCATAGACTATGGCCCCTGAATGTAGGAAAAGTCACGATTTTAGCTTGTGAACACTGTAGAGGACACAATTTTTATCCGATTTGGTTTAAACATGAAATGTATGTGTGTGTGTGTGTGTGTGTGTGTGTAGGGGGGGGGGGGGGTGGGGTAGTGGACCAAATCTGAATAGATGACGGTGGGGTGGGGGTATTTACACGGTGTGATGTAGCCACAATTGATTTGTTCATAAAAGCTGCCGAGGTATCTGTATAAAGTGGGTTGGCCCTGTTAACAAGTTACTATTTATCACATGACCTGTAAACTCTTTTCTTCGAGGAGGGTTGGATGGCCGAATGGTAAGCACGTGCGCGCCGTATCATAGGGTCTGCCATTGAGTCAACTGGCGGGGTTTCGATTTCCCGTTTGTACGTGACAAGGGGTGAGGTCGCCTGTCCAGCCTCGTGGGTTTTCTCCGGGTCCTCCGGTTTCCTCCCACTACTAAAGACCCCTACGGGCAAGCTAATTACTGAAATAAAATTTAACCATGTGTTAGTCCCGAAATGATCTAGTTTGTGTCGAGTGGACGTTAAGCCCCATTGTCAACAGTTCAGGATTCTTACACATTCGGAGGGATAGGTGGTCTAGTGGTTTCGATTCCCCACTGGGAGTAGGGTCGCCTGACCAACCTCGTAGACTCTCTCTCTCTCTCTCTCTCTCTCTCTCTATTTTCATTCGAACCCTGATCGAATTCATGGACATTTTGGGCAATGACAATAAAAAAAAGATCGCGATCAGGTCTGATATAACGGCACGTGAACATCAAATAGATCGATATTTTTTTTACGTTGTTAGGAGAAAGTACAACCAAATGATTGGGCTACTGATGAAGGAATGGTCTTACACGTGGATAGGCCCTTTAGCAAATTACAACTCCGTAATATATGATGAGTGCGTTCAGATTTTAAAGTGGATCGAACGTAGACACATAACCGTTTCGACAATCTGGTTAAAACCCAGATCATATTTCGTTTCGTTTTTATAGTTCAAAATTTCGTTTTACTTGTCTTTACTACACTTGGATCTGGAAGAGTTGTTATTTAACTCGTGTTCTGCTTGAAATGAGGGGTCAGCCAATCAAATGGTCTGTCGAATCGAGTGTTTGACCTTTTCTGCCCGGAACTGTGGGTAATCCACTAGTAACATCAATGCTGATTGGTTAATCAAATGTCTGACGTGACCTATCGCGATAACTTGTCAGATCTTCATGTAGTGTAGTAGTGTAGGCCATCGAAAGTATAAAAAACGAAACGAAATATAGATCTGTATTTTAATCAGCTTGCCTTTTCAACTAAACAAGCTAATCCGTTCAATACATAATTAGTTGATAAACACATATTTACATGTGTCAATAACGAATGTCGGAAATGAAATTGGGTTTAACGTCCTACTTTTCTACCTAGAGTGGGCTAGGCTAATGAAGACGGACATGCGCAAGACAATGTGTATGGGGTAACGTTTGCCCGGACAGCGGCAATACCGTGTATTCTTATTTCGAATACCAACTGTCAAGGGTTCTTTTACGTGCACGCCAATATGTACAGGGACCTCGGTTTTCGTCTGATCCCAACGACTAGACACTGTCTTTGCTAGGCCCCTCAACCGACACCACTGACAAGGGAAAACTGAAAAGATGTGAGAGTTTAACATATGGCTTTATTAACCAAACAGTAACCCATAGAGATAAATTGACCAATGTCTGATACTCTTCGGGCTGAAGAATTGTATAGAATTTAGACTGGTGCATGATACCGTCGACAGATAAATAAAATATGAAACCCTCTACTGGGAATACTACATCAAAGTAAACGGATCTTACCTCTCCGGATCAAAAGTTTCGACATCATCACCCCATATAGCTTTATCTTTATGTAACGACCAAACGTCTGCCTGGACAACCATGCCTTTTGGGATTGTTATTCCCTTAACAACACACGTGTTGGTACATTTTCTAGCTATGATACTGTGGGATGAAGAGATATATAATTGTGTAACTATCGAAATATAATTTGCGGAATGAAATGAAATGAAATGGGATTTAATGCAACTACAAGTCTAATGAAGACTAACAGTGTGTTATGTATATATAGGATATTAACCTACCCAAGGTTGATATGATAGAGAACACGCGGACGAAACCCAAGTGGCCCCTCTCATATCAATCCGAGGGAGAGAAGGTTTATATCCGACATAATAGTTTTAATTACCCTTAAATTAAATGGACTCTTCAATGATTTTGTAATTGCTCGATACTTTCCGTCAAATAACGAAAATTGCCGACGAACTAATCACGTGAATGCACGTGTGTTTTATTGTTTATACCCAACTACCTTGTCGCCATTTTGGAGTAAATATAGGTTCAATTGAATTGAAAGCAAAAATAAAATGAATAGTAATACGTTATCAGACGAATAATCAATCCTTTTTAGCCAACAGATTGACGGTGGAATAGATGTGCATGCAAATTCTGACGAGGATCTACTAGTTGCTAGTTAAAAGGCTGAAGAAAATTTAGATGAAAAGGCAATCTTTTCCGATAATTCTGACAGTGAACCTTGAAGGTTTTCGGTATGTTCTGAGAAGGATTTGACCGACTGTGTTAAGTGGACTGTACCCAAAAATACTCTACAAATGAACTCTTGGGCTATAAATAATTTCAAGTCTTGGAGAAATAATCGAATTGTGGACGAAAAGAAACTTCTGAAAGATATCTTAGACATGGATAACCGATCTAAGTATTCCGATAAGTACGCCGTCTATTTCGGTGCTGAATGCTACAAACTGTACCATAAAAAAATTTATTTGTCAAAAGAATAAAAATTTATTTCTGAGTTCTTTGTATTATTTCGATCATCGACGTCATCAGCGGTTGATATGAACCGAATATATCAACCGTTAAAATAAACGAAATGGGTCTAAAAGCACATATTAATGTAATATGAGTGTATATAAAGTGATTTATATTCAATTTTCTTTTTAAAAAAATATAATTTCTGATCGATTATGTTCGGCGAAATACGTGAACAGTCCAAATTTAACAACATACGTTTACGTCTGATTAGTCCATTCTACGAGTTTTTATTATTATTTTGTCGTTTGTGAATCAGCCATAACTAATCACTTTCGCATTTTCTGGTAGGATATGTTTTTCTTTCTTCATTACAAATGGCGCCCGAAGCCATAAAATACACGGTTAATCTACTGGTTATAAAATGTTGATTGTGCCTTACATATTTGATATTATCACGGTAAGATTCAAATGGACCAACATTAAATTCTGATTCGTGTATTTAATTTTGAATATTTTAGAAAATATTGAATTAGGGTTTAGCTTCTTTAAACAATATAAAGAACACTTACACACTAGATAGAGGATATTTCCTTAACACTGAATTAGAATTTTAGCCTCTTTAAACAATATAAAGAACACTTACACACTAGCTAGAGGATATTTCCTTAACGTTTCTTTAATCACCATATCTAAATATTTCAACTGTCTAACATCATCATATGTTGGTACATCGTCCTAAAAAAATACGACAGTTATAAAGCTAATCCTTAAAAACAACCAAAAGTCCGGAAACCATAATACAATATTCATTGGAACGCGGAAACAATCAAAAGTCCGGAAACCATAATACAGTATTCATTAGAACGCGGAAAAAAAAACAAAAACAGATTTTCTAATGCACGAAAGGTTGGAGTAGGTACCTAATTCATACATCGAATATATCAGAATCAATCTTTGTAATTCGACATATCCGATTATTATAACTTCGGTACATCTTTCGCGCAAGAATCTAACCTCGCATACCTCGAATATATAAAATTCATTATTCTGCAATTCAACATACCTGAATCTAAACGGTCTAACTCGAATACATAAGATTCGTTATTCTCTAATTTTACATACCCGAATATGGACCGAAACCCGCCTACCACGAATAAATGTAATTCGTTATTCTGTAATTCAACATACCTGCTTAGGATCGTTTATGTATATTTTGCGTGAATGAATCCAACTCGCCTACGTCGAATATATAAAATTCGCTATAATAAAATTCGACATACCTGGTTAGGAATCTGAACCCGCCTACCTCGAATATATATAATATATAGAAAGAAGCGTGTTGTGTGACTACCTCCAATATATACAATTCGTTATACTAAAATTCGACATACCTGGTTTGGATAGTATGTGTTTATTTCCTCTCGTAGTTTGTTCTGTATGTCGAAGTTGTTGGCCAATTCGTGAAAAACGAAGGATAGCGTTGTACTTGTTGTCTCATAGCCAGCCAATAAAAATAGCAGAGCTTGTTGGACAATCTCCTGAAATAAAACAAATTTGTCTAAAAACCAGTCATAGTCTGTGATATCACCTTTAAAAGATGAATCACTATTCTTTGGCACGGGGGGGGGGGGCTGAGGGTTGGATGACCGAATGGTAGCGTTTGCGCGATGCATCATAAGAACTGTCATTGACTCAACTGCCGTGGTTTCAATTTCCCGGTTGCACGTGACAAGGAGTAAGGTCGCCTGTCCAACCCCGTGGGTTTTCTCCGGGTCCTCAGGTTTCCTCCTACTGCTAAAGACACCTACGCGCAAACAAATTATTGAATTCAAACTGAACCATATGTTAGTCTCGAAATTACCTAGTTTGTGTGGGGAGTGAGAGAAAGAGAGAGAGAGAGAGAGAAATGGGGTTTAACGTCCACTCGACAGGGAAACCTATAATCTCATCCTCTGTATCCCCAGTGGTCCCATTCCGTTCTACTCTACTATATCCTGTGTTCATCCATGAGGGAGACACGTATTCAAACTATCTGCCCGTGGCGATTGTCCTATTTTTATCGACCAATAACAGGATACGCTTGACACTATAACAACTTGCCACTGCCTAATTTCACTGACATAAAATCATCTTCCCCATCAAAAAGATCCATGTCACTTCTTTTGTATGAAATTTCTTGTAAACTTTCTCCTAATCGAGCGAACAAGCCGCCTTATTGTTGTGAAAGTAAACAATTAGGCTAAGACTGGTTTATAAACTGTTTTTTGATTGGTTCGTAGAATCACGCTATAATATGAATACGTGAATACCCCCATGGACGAACCCAGGGTATAGTGGAGTGGAGTGGAATCAGACCACTGAGATAACGGGATAACGAGGATGCTATAATCTTCGCTGAAATAGTTTGGCGGGACCACTACCGTCCATATTTTGATTTTGTTTTCTTCATTTAATGTCAATTAATTAAAGATACATTATGTAAGATTAGATAAAGAGTTGGCCGTTTTTGCTATGATAGGTCAAAAATACACAATACGAAATGAATGTGTTGAAAATTGTACTCAAATTACTTTATTCTGAGAGAAATTATCACTGTTTGGAGTGTTGACAACGTGTGACATTGATTGTTTATTATCGTAACAACGGTACTTGTTATTCTAGACATAGCCTAGCTTCTCCATTGTTGAAATAAATCATTAAATGGCCGAAGCGTTCTAATTTACTTAACACCGGAGCCATCCGATGGCCTAGAGAGTTGATTATGGGCTTGTGATGTTAAAAAATATTTGAAAAATAGTTTATATAACATTTGAAGCCAATATAAAGATCTGCAATAGGTAGATTTAGTTCTACAATGCATCTTTGATATGAATATAATTTATCAAGCCATGGAACATTAATTATTAACCATTGACTTCAACATGTCCTTATTTGGTATTCTTAATGGCATATTCGGTCAGATGTTATCATTTTTTCTTTACATTTAAGTTCATCAAAAATTTCTAAATTTAGTCAGAGGTCACCAAATATTTCTAAATTTAGCAACGAGTTATCAAAAATGTCAAATTTAAAAAAAAGTTATCAAAAATTTCTAAATTTAGAAACAAGTTATCAAAAATTTCTAAATTTAGTCAGAGGTCACCCTCTAATTTCTAAATTTAGCCAAGAGGTCACCACAAATTCCAAATCGATCCCAGGTTTATCAAAACATTTTAAATTTAGCCAAAGGTTATCAAAACTTCTTAATTTAGCAACAAGTTATCAAAAATGTTAAAATTAGTGTTCAAAAATTCTAAATTTAGCCAGTGATTATGTATCAGGTATGAGTTCCATTTATTATATCCCCATTTCTTGATTAAAGAAAGACGGTCACAAACAGTTATGGTAATCTGATATAAGCCCAGTTGTGATAACCTTCATCAACCTTAAAGGGCGATGAACGTGCGCTTTTCTCAGCTGCTCCCATCATGTAGAACACATATTGTCACACAGTGTTAAAGATACATTCCTACGAAAGTATTTATCAAGTTGTTATCTATACTAATAGTTGTGACTGTTTGTCTGTCGATATGTTCTGAGTTGGTGGCTATACTACTGCTGTCCCGAGGCAGCGAGAGAGAGAGAGAGAGATAGACATGTGGTTTAACGTCCACTCGACACAAACTAGGTCATTCCGGGCCTAACACATGGTTCAATCAACTGGCGGACCCGGAGAAAATCCCACGAGGTTGGACAGGGGAATCGAAACCCCGCCAGTTGACTCAATGACAGACCTTCTGATACAGCGCACACGTGCTACCATTCGGCCATCCAACACCCCCCACCCCTGTCCCGGGGCAAGCTGAAATTTGGTGTATAGGGTTAGCTCGGACCGGGGAGTAACATAGGCCTGGTGGCAAAAGCCTACCACTCCGGTTTCCGTGTTATGACCACAGGGCTTTGGACCCCGGGCGAAGTCGGCCATCCTTCTAGTTTCGAATAAGAGTATGAACCCCAGGATTTAGGCCCCGGGGCGAAGCCGGTATCCATCTATTTCCAATAAAAGAATGGCAATTTTGATATATATGGACAGTAGAGACACCCAACCTAGATAAATACTGGAATCCCTGAAAAACACCCATGGGGCAGACAAAAATGTGAAGTTATCTCATCAAATATGATATAATAATCAGAAGCCGGGAGAATTTGGAGAAATACCTATTCATTTAGATTTGAGTTTTATATGTGGAATTCAAAAATGGGTTAATAAAATGAATTATTATGCAAACAGAGAACTACCTACTTCGATATTAGATATCTGCCCTAAATGGTCACCATATCCAAAAATTGCTATAAGCTACTTATTATATAATACTAGTTTATAAAGCGGTTCTACTCCGTTTCGCATCTGTCATACACACAAAGTCTTAAACACTGAAATGTTTTCTAAATTATTAATTAGGCATTAATTGACTGATCTAGGTCAAAATCAACTCTCGATGAGATCGGATTTCTCCGATATTAAATAGATTAGACATAATTTGATTTAATCTAAAAATGGAGGAGTGAGACTTAGCTTCGAACAACCAGTACGGCGGTCTTGTCAAACCTTCAAAGGCTAATATCTTCGCTTGCAATAGAGTAATTTGAATGAAATTTTCAAATTATTCATTCTACATGATCTATATTCGAACTATTAAAGCAAGAATGGCCAGCTCTTTATCTAAATCTTACATAATGTATCTTTAATAAAACTTTTCAATTTGATTAAATGGAAACGGAATAAACACTTCTCCAAATTCGCGAAATATACACAGTGCTTTCGTCTAAAATCGTCGATGTAGGAAATAACTAGCTTAGTGTCTGTTCACAAGGGGAGATGGTTGTAGATAGATAGCGTAAGTTTAGTATGTTACCTCATTGGATAATTTTTTGGGGATATGACCCCTGCTTTCTGCTGTACTGACATTTGTAAAAGTTGAAGCAATGGCTCCGTCCATCCGGGCTTCTATCAACAGTTGTAGCAAATCTGATTTATGAGGCTGAAAAATAATAATAATAAATAAAAATGTATTTCGTTTCATATCAACCGTACACCCAATGAGAGCCGAGTTGACTCAATTCCGATGTTGGTCGAGAAGGTTATCCAGGATTTTTCGGCGTGGTTATTGAATATGGTATGCTGTGTTAAAAATGACTGACCTTATGATCTCGTTTTCTATTCTCTATGAGTAAACCCAATCTTTTCTCCAACCAGAATACAGGATTAAATTTTATATAATGTAGAAAATAATAAATACCAATCCACAATCTCTGTAGTGCAGGAAATATAACTATTAAATAAATAAAGTAACACTGTAACGGTTTTAAGTATTAATGGTCTAAAATATTAATGTTCTAGAGTATTAATGATCTTAAATATTAATGTTCTGTAGTATTAATGGTCTAAAATATTAATGTTCTAAAGTATAATTGGTCTAAAGTATTAATGGTCTTAAATATTAATGTTCTGTAGTATTAATGGTCTAAAGTATTAATGGTCTAGAGTATTAACGGTCTAAATTATTAATGTTCTAAACAATTAATGTTCAAAAGTATTTTTGGTCTAAAATATTATGTAATGTTCTAAAGTATTACTGTTCTAAACAATTAATGTTCTAAAGTATTAATGGTCTAAATTTTAATGTAATGTTCTAAAGTATTAATGTTCTAAAGAATGGTCTGAGTATTAATGGTCTAAAGTAGTAACGGTCTAAAATATTAATGCTTTGATGTATTAATGTTCTAAATATTAATATTCTAAAGTATTAATGTAATGGTCTATAGTTTTAATGCCATTCTTTATGATTTTAATGTAATGGTCTGAAGTTTGAATGTAATGGTCTAACGTTTTAATGGAATGGTATAAAGTATTAATGTAATGGTCTAAAGTATTAATGTAATGGTCGAAAGTATTAATGTAATGGTCAAAAGTATTAATGTAATGATCGAAAGAACTAATCGAAAGTATTCATCTACACTGCGTGGAGGAGAATAAAGCTACATAGTAAAAGATAGTGATCCGCACAGATCCACAATAAATAAACTTACATCCACACAGATATAATATGGGTTGTTTTGTTGTATCTTTGATGACGCCACGACAGTTGGTTAAAAACGGTTCTGTTTCATCCCCTACAGATTGACAGTCAGCGTTGAAAGCACAGTGAACTATTGTATCCAGTGTTAAGCACTGAAACAACCTGAAATCAAGTCATAACTATCATTATAAAGGTTACAGATACATTATGTAAGATTTTGAAAAAATGATGGACGTACTTGCTATAATAGTAAAATTAATGATGCACTATGTAAGATTTATATAAAGAGCTGGTCGTTCTTGCTATAATAGTTATATCAAAGTTATGTAAGATTTATATAAAGAGCTGGTCGTTCTTGCTATAATAGTTATATCAAAGTCATGTAAGATTTAGATAAAGAGCTGGTCGTTCTTGCTATAATAGTTATATTAAAGATACACTATGTTAGATTTAGATAAAGAGTTGGTCGTTCTTGCTATAATAGTTATATTAAAGATGCATTATGTAAGATTTAGATAAAGCACTGACAGTTCTAGAGGATAATAATAATATTAAAGATAAATCATGTAACATTTAGACAAAGAACTGACAGTTCTTGCTATAATAGTTTTAAATTATTTAATAATAAAAACAATGAATACATTAAAAATAAATTTCATTAAAATTACTTTATTTTGAGCGAAGTTATGGCTGTTTGAAAATGTAGCATAGACTGTTTATTATCGAGACTTAAATCATTTAATTGTTTTAATCCATTTAAATCTCGACCATCTGATGATCTAGAGAATTGATTAAAGGCTTGTCATGTGAATAACTTGTCTAATTATAAATTTATATCACTCTTAAAGCAAAAATAAAGACCTGCAATAGGAAGATTTAGTTGGTACATAATGTATCTTTAATTTCTAATATAACGGCTACTTATCGTTTTGTCCTTGGGCGCCGATCTTTCAAAAAAAGTTTAGGACACCGCCAATTCATTTGCGATCGACACGAAACTGAGCATGCGTGGTCCTTGGACAATTGACATACTTCTGAATATTACGCCACAAGTCCAAGATGGCTGCGATGACGTCATATTTAGTTCCAGGGGCCTTATTCACGAAATCTTAAACTAAAATAGTTTAAGAATAGTGACTTTCATTGGTTAAAAGCTGGATTTTATACTAGAATTTTAATTCCCAGCCAATGAAACTGCTGAATTCTAAGAATGTTTAGTTTAAACTTTTGAGAATAGGGTCCACAGTGCATCATGATTAGTACGATAGTAGGCCCTGCTTGTTTTTTTGTTTTTTTTTTAACCATTGAACTTCAGAAAGTGGTGGAATCATCAAGAAGAAGTAAATTATAGTATCTAATTGATGAAGGTATCTACCTTAAAACGTCCATGGCCTTGCCTTGCTTCTCTTTAATTATATTTATTACTGATGCTATGCTTTTTCCAATTTCAGGACCCATCTAGTAATAAAATGATAAATATGTTAAATTAAAGAGAGATAGAGAAATGTTAGGTCATTTAGGGACTAACATATAGTTTAATTTTATTTCAATAATTCGCTTGCGCGTAGGGGTCTTTAGCAGTGGGAGGAAACCGGGGGACACAGAGAAAACCCAAGAGGATGTTAAATTAAAACCCCTAAGTCAATTATTAAGACACAAGGAACATTTTAGAATTCCGAGAAGCTTAATCGGTCAACCGGGGATCTACTAGCGCCATACTCGCCGCGTCACCGTCGCATCCTACCCCACCTCACCCCACCTAAACAGTTATTACAAAAATAAATATATTGAACATTTCATGGAACAGTCAAATTACTAGTTTTGGGGCGAAGTTATCAGGTTTTGAAGTGTCCCCATGATTGTCTCGATTGTCTAGTACAATTATTACGATAATAAACAAAGTCTTGATTGTCCAGTTTTATATTAAATTACTAAAGAGCGATCGTCTTTGACTTCATTAAAAATCGTGACCATCCGATAGTCTATAGAGTTGATTATGAGCTTGTCATGTGAATAAATGTTTAAATAACAATCTATATAACATTGGTGACCAAAATAAAGACCATCTTCAATAGAGGGCTTGATCTCACTTTAACTACGTACATCTTATCAAGGCCTTCACGTAATACCCTGCATATGTCGGCACTAATTCCGATTAGGTACAAGCCCAGTTTGTGAGCCTATCAGAGTCCTCGATCGTCGTGAATACCAAGTCTCGCGCTTTCAAGCTAAAATGTCTACCTGTGATAATCGAGTTGCAGAGTTCAAGATTCGTTCAATGTCAAGGTTTCCGTGGAGCTCGCTGTGTCACAACCTCTGATTGGACGCCACTGTTTAAGTGTCTGTAGACAACTTAGCTATAAGTTCGGGAATTGTGAAGTAATCTAGCAACGTCAAGATGTTGTAAAACTCGCAGTCGTTGCTTCAGGAACAGGAATAAAGACATACAAGAAAAGATTTAGCTCTATCATTTTCAAGAAAACTATGGTTATCTTAATACGTTTCCCTTTTTCCTTTCCAATTTAAAAACAAAATTAACAAAACAAAAGAAAAAAAACAACAGAATACGAACCCGTCTCATTTTGTTGGAACTGAAAGCTGGGCTGACAACAGATCGAAGCCTTCTCCATCGATCACCCATGGCGAAAAACATGTGAACTTTCTCGTCTGTTTCGGGATCCACTTGTACTGGCCAAACCTGAGATAATGTTAGAAACGGACTTTATAAAGTCAATCGCAATACTTCGGCCATCATGATATCCAACACCCGGCTGTCGTGCTTTGACTGAGCTAAATAAGACGGACATACGCCATCTGGTGTGTTACGGGGGAAATTTTGCCCGGACAGTGGCGCTATGGCCTATCGAATTCTAACTTGGGGAACACCAGGTATGAACACCGGACCTCCAGTTTAGCGAACCAACGTCTGACTTGCCAAGTCACAGTTGTTCCAAGCACCCAATGAAATGGACTTCATTCTTCCTTATTTATTTTGTAACCGGAGCATTTCTCAGATTTAAAGAGGCATTAGGTAAGATTAGATAAAGAGCTGACAGTTCTCGCAATAAAATTTGTTAAAAAGATAATGAAAACGGAATATGCTGAAAATTTCAGTTAAATTGCTACATTCTGAACCCACCTTTCTAGCGTAGAAATTATGAAATTGTTTGACAAAAACTTCTTGAAGAATATCTGGATCGGATGTAACCAATACAGGGGACGGGCCTTCAAAATACCTAAATCAAAATTACATTTCATATCATTTCAATACCATTTTGTTCCCATCCAAGAAATTTAGATTCTTGTAATTAATGCTATAAAAGAGATGTCGAAATGCACAATGAATTATATATGATACATAAAAATGCGAAGTAAAATTAATAAACGAGAAGGGATGTCGAAATGCGCCGTGACATTAATTCTATGTAAAGGGTGGTATCACAATGCGCAATGAAATGCCCTAATGCTATCGTATGGATGGGGGGGGGGGGTGTATCGCCATATGCCCGTTTCAAAGCAGGCTGATTATAAAATATTTTAAGTGACGTTTAGTTTTGAGCTAAAGGCTAAAGTTTATGATGTCACAGCCATTCAACATTGAAGTTAATATGCAAATAACTGCTAGTCTTGATATCAGGACTAAGACTAGTAATTATTTTCCCTTATTTCATAATGTGTGTGAGTTATAAATAGACAATTTTTCCCTTAATTTTTTTCTCCCCTCTTCCTGCATTTTTGGGTTGACTTTTTGATCTAGAATTGGAGAAACGGGATACAATTTGCAGTTTCATAGCAGTTTTGGGTAATACTGATGATATTACAGCGGAGGGATAGGGAGTGTAAAGTGTCCTTCTGCAGAGCAATCATTGTGTTGGAAGTGAGATTTTCACCCCAGTCAACTTCAAATCCGCGTAGCAAAAAATCTAAATGGTCGACCCCCTACAAAATTATGATGTTGGGCAAAAAGCTACAGCCTGTCATGTTCCAGCCATTTAACATTGAAGTCAATGGGCAAATAATTGCTAGTCTGAGTCCATCAACATCGCAATTGCCTCCCTTTACTGGCTAGTAAGCATGAGTTAATAACAAACCAGTGGCAGTTTATTGCTATTATCCTTAATGCCATTTATAATTAGAGATATAACATTCATAATAACACCACTTTATGGATTAACTACTTCTTAGGTTTTTGATTAAATGCGACGTTTCATTACTCTTACAAGCATCTTTATCAAACAACGCTCTACTCTTCAGATTACGGGATATAATATATGGGAATAATTGTTTTAATGAAAACAAAGTCTTCTTCGGTGTTTGTTGTGCCTTAGTTCATCATTGTAGTAGTCTGTCCGTATAAGTAGTTATTTTGTGACATCTTTAGAAATAGCGGTCCCTGTAAGAGCCTCGCCGTCAGCGATAAATTCGTGCTCGCACAATTCTCTTGTCTTATAGAAGGGATTATTAGATTCAATGAGAGCGGAATTATTTTGTATATATACTAAATAATAATCAGATAAACAAAATAAAATCATTTATTTATTATTTATACCCACCCAAATGTACGTCCATAAAGCTTCGTCCATATTTGATACATACAATGAAATCCCTGAATGAAAAAAGGCGATGACATTATTTTCGTTTCTTTTTTAGAAATGAAATGAAATGGGGTTTAACGTCCTACTGTTCTGCTCCGAACTTGGCTAATGAAGACGGGTATATACGCCATACAGTATGCTATGAGGGAAATTTTGCCAGGACAGCGACACTGCGGCCTACTCTTATATCGAATTCCAACTATCTGGGGATCTTTTACGTGCACGGTAATGTGTACACGGGACCTCGGTTTTTTGTCCCATCCGAACGACTAGACAGCTGTCCTTGTCAGGCCCTCCGTCCTGCATCACTGACAGGGGGGGGGGGGGGGGAACCACGCCGGAAAATCTGGAGCCAGCGTCATACCCACTTAGCCACCGGACAGCGGCACTACGGCCTACTCTTATATCGAATTCCAACTGCCAGGGGATCTTTTACGTGCACGCAAATGTTTACACTAGACCGCGGTTTTTCCGCCCATCCGAACGACTAGGCAGGTGTCTGTGTCAGGCCCTCCATCCAGGGGGGGTTGGATGGCTGAATGGTTAGCGTGCGCGCGCTGTATCATAAAGTCTTGTCATTGAGTCGACTAGCGTGGTTTCGAATCCCCGGTTGTACGTGGCAAGGAGTAGGGTCGCCTGTCCAGCCTCGTGGGTTTTTTCCGGGGCCTCCGGTTTCCTCCCACTGCTAAAGACCCCTAAGCAAAGCGAATTATGTAAATAAAATTAAACCATATGTTAGTCCCGAAATGACCTAGTTTGTGTCGAGTGAACGTTAAACCCCATTTCTCTCTCTCTCTCTCTCTCTCCCTCCCTCCATCCAGCATCACTGACAAGGGGGGAAACCACGCCGGGAAATCTGGATGAACTTTCTCAGCAAATGCCTTAGATTGTCTATTCTGTCTCGTTAGACTTGTATAAGCCCACATAGTAAGCAGTTTTATCACTCGACCATGGACGAGACACGATTGTTATCAAAACAAAAGTGATTACATTAGGTTAGTTAGTGATACCCCATATCATTGATGATAATACAGATTACAATTTCACCAACTTAAAAAAAAATCGAGGAGATGTACGTGAATTTAATTACGCTATGGCTTATAAGCATGGCGTATAAAGATGGCGTCAACCTATCAGATTGTGTGACGTCCTTGTTACGTCGTGTACCCCGCCCCCTCTCCCTTCTCACCCTTTCTTGACATGAAAACTCATCAGATTGCGATTTTAACAAAGAAAATTGGGGCAATAAGATATCGTAATGGCGCTTGCATGTTCACCTATATCATTCACAAATGATTTATCCTGCAAGTCTCCTAGACGACAGTGGTCTGCGAAATCACCCTGGGTGGAATCGGACGTTCTCCTAGACGACAGTGGTTTGCGATATCACCCTAGATGGAATCGGACGTAAAGCCTCGATAGAAGACGAATGGTCATCACTGCAAATCAACTGTAAGAGTCACTAAGTAAATTAGGCCTATTGTTGATAAATTATATTACCGTTTGTCCCCACAGCGCCAGCAAATTTCCAAATAGAAAGTTGGGGCTCGGACCTGGTATGCCCATCTTCTTGAAGATCTTTTGACCTTTTCGTCTTTCTCTGTTTTTGAAAGAGACAGAAAATAGTTAGGCCTACAAAGCTGTACCGTGTTTTGATATGGTCTTATTATCGTTGAAGTAATATAGCTTTAAATCATTCACGTGGCGTGAAATGAAATGCCGCTTAACGTCCCATTTTCTGTACCGATTGGGCAGTGTCGGATCCAGTAATTTATGCAGGGGGGGGGGGGGGTGCCAGGTTCCTATTAAGGACAGTTGACAATACCTGATGTCATATATATTCATAGAATGTGAAACAAATTTATTAGAATTGGCAAGACTAAACGATCTATTAAATATAATGAACATACTCTTTAAGGGGCATTTAGCGACTGAGATACACATTAATAGAACAATGTACTAGATACCGATAAGAAGATATTTGCCGAAAAGTTCCCTGAATCCGCCCCTCATTGGGGTAACGAAATCGAGCGTACGCCAGACAATGTGCTATGAACGACATTTTGTTCGGACAGTGGCAAAACCACCTAATTTATTTGTTCGTATTCCGAATGCCAATGGTTCTTTTACGTGTACGTGTACGTCCCATCCGACCGACTATACTCTGTCCTGCATCACTGACAATAGAAACTACGCCGGAAAAATTCCGATAAACTTTCGCGGCCAATAGCAGGGTCAAACCCGAGATCTCCTAGTAAGCGATCCGGCGTCTTACTCGCTGAAACACCGCGGCTCCCTGTTCAATACAAAGATGAGATTGAGAAATACTTACAGATAGAACTTGATCAATAGAACGCTTAATATAAAATACAACAGGTAGGTAATAATCATGTTGGTGACTTTACGTTGTTTCAAATTAACTCACAGAAATAAACGAATCTTCACTAAATTGGTATTTTGCAACAAATATATCTCAACAAGTTTCAAACTGTTATATCTCAATGGCAAAATTTAATATTGCTAATAAACTTTATCCAGTCACAATTGTTATATCACTCCAACTCTGAGTTTTAGAAATGTTTAAGCACTTTCTCCAAGAAATATAGTTCACAAGAAATTGTTTTAATTATCACTATGGATATTGGTAATAAACTGTAATGATCCACTTGACTAAACTAAGTGTTATACTGGTCTATTTAATATGGATAATATCATTTCTGATACATTGTATTGAATTATATATGATGATGTTATCAATTATAAGATAATATCAATCACAGATTATATATTAACATTGAAGTCAATCAGAAGTTGACGTCTTTGTCTTCATTTCTTATCTAAATGGGCAGATAGATGATTGGCGATATATGAAAGGATTTGGGTGAAGGAGAGGCGAGGACTTTTCTACACTTACATCCGACTTCCATAGCTGAGCCACGAACCAACAGCAAAAGCTGATAGAGAGAGAGAGAGAGGGGGGGGAGAGAGAGAGAGAGGGAACGTCCACTCGGCACAGACAATAAAGACTTTTGGCTAGTGTAAATATCTGTGTGTGACGTCATCAATGTATGTGTTAAGGGCCGGCGAAAGCAATTTTTGATGGGGGGGGGGGGGGCGCTACCATCTTAGGACTTGAGACGAGGCTTCTGGGGATCTATATCGTCAGAGACAATTTCTGGCTAATGAAATTACTCAGCAATGAAATTTGAAATTTTATTTCTTTTCTATATCCTTTACCATGCAAACACAGTCGATTTTGGTTTCCTGCGATGCTGAACTTGACAAATATATGCATAATAATACCAAGGTTGCGGACACTCTAGATGTCCAATTTTTATACGATTTTATTGAAACTGACTGACAACGTATGTTTGTAAATGAAAGATAACGACATTTGTATCTTGTGGAAACTCTAGACCCCACAGTTTTTATTTGATTGTCGAAACCGTTCAAATATATCACCGTTACACCATAAATACGGCTGAGTTCAAATAATTTCGTGAAAATCGGTCCGAAACTGCCCGACGAAATGGCCGCTACCCTTGAAAGCATGCAATATCTAGGTTGTGGACCACCCAGAGGTTCGAATTTTCATCCAATTTTGATATATACCAAAGGTCTGTGTTCGCTTCGATATTGGCGCGTATTGGACCGTAACTTTCTTGATTATGACCTCTGATTGTACGAAATATCACGTTTTTAGCTTGTGGACCCTCTACAGATCACGATTTTTATCTTATTTTTAATACCGTTCAAATATATCACATTTACATCACCGTCCTGAAAACCGGACCGAAACTTTCAGTCAAATGGCCACTTTCGTCTACGAAAATAATATAAAAACATGTTATGCCAAGGTTGTGGACCATCTGGAGGTCAGAATTTTTATCCGATTTAGATGAACTTAAAACAAGTATCACTAGCTCTTGGATGAGTTCAAATCTGGTGCGCATTGGCCCCCTGCCTTTTACGCAAAATGTAAATTATGAATGAAGTTTGTGGACCTTCCGGAGACTACAATTTTCGTCCGATTCATGGGATGAAAAGTTCTTGCATGACTTCGACTTTGGTACGCATCAGTTATGTCGTATCGCGACTAATATATGGTTCAATTTTATTTCAATATTTCGCTTGCGCGGAGGGAGGAAGTCGGAGGACCCGGAAAAAACCTACGAGGTTGGATAGGCGACCCTGCTCTTTATCACGTTGAAGAGGGGAATCGAACCACGCTACTTGACTCAATAACAGACCTCATGATTTTAAGCACAAGCGTTAACCATCCAATCCCCCAACAGCAAAAGATAAATTGAGTGGCGTGGTTTCGTTTTCTAGTCTGTACGTGACACAAAGTACGGGCATCTGTCCAACCTGGTGGATTTTATCCGGTTCTCCGATTTTCTCCCACAGCTAAAGACCCTACACGAAAACGATCAATTGAAATAAATTTGAACCATGTTTTAGTCCCGAAATGAGATAGTTTGTGTCGAGTGGACGTTAAAACTCATTTCTATTTTATATGGAATAGCCATTTCTGGTTTAAACAATTTTGCATTTTATGTTTATAATGAAAATGAAATAAAATGTAACCATATGTTAGTCACGAAATGACATACATGTAGTTTGTGTTACATTATCTATTACGTTTTATTTTATGGTGTCAGGTGACCAGTCTATTCTGCACACATGGGTCCATCTACTTCATTCTTAGAGAGAGAGAGAGAGAGAGAGAGAGAGAGGTGGGGTTTAACGTCCACTCGACACAAACTAGGTCATTTCGGGACTAACATATGGTTTAATTTTTATTTCAATAATTCGCCTGCGCGTAGGGTCTTTAGCAGTGGGGGAAAACCAAAGGACCCGGAGAAAACCCACGAGGTTGGACAGGCGACGCTACTCCTTGTCACGTACAACCGGGAAATCGAAGCCCCGCCAGTTGACTCAATGACAGACCGTATGATACAGCGCGCGCGTGCTAACCATTCGGCCATCCACCCCCCCCCCCACCCACCCCCCTTCATTCTTCGAGAATAGATCTCTGTTCTAAATATCCAAAAATTAGTATACTGCTTTGTAATGCGTTTCTACTCCGTTTAACATCTGTCATACACTGATACACATACAATTCTCTAATAGTAAGTGCGGGAGGACCGCACTACACGCAAAACAAAAATCTATACTTAGTGTTTTCGTCTAAAATCGTCGATTTAGGACTTAAAATGTCGGTCAACTAGCTTAGTGTCTTTTCTCAAGCGGTAGAAAGGCGGCCTAAGTTTAGTATGGTGACCAGTCCAGTTATCGTTATCACATATTTGACTCCATCTTTATCTCAACCGTCCCACTTAATGTATATCATGCGAAGGTTTTCAATTCACAATATCACATTAACCGACTTGTGGGCCTTGGACCAAACTCATCAGCCCCCTCCCCTCCAGTCCCCTCTCCCCAGTCCCTCAGAAACCTGTGAGCCTTAGGTCAATGGCCTACTAAGCCTTTTGGTTAATCCGGCCGTAAGCGCGACGTTTCGACAAATGTTCTCATATTGTTTACTGTTCATTTAGTCCTACATATACAGCCCAATTTTTTTTGTGAAATTCACCTTGCTCTCCCGGGTTATCAACTGTATTCGGTCACCTGAACGTAAACACATTCGATCAGTAACACACGTTTGTTGATATCAAATAATCATGAAAGATTTTATTTAAAAAAAAAAAATGGAAAACGTTTGACTTCACGATAACCAAGCGAATCGACAACACGTGGTTTCATCAGTCTAGCGCACCACGATAACAAACTCGTTTAATCTTTATCTGATTTTGACATACCAAACCCGACAGTCCATCCCTCTCAAATCATCTCATTCGGTCGTAAGGGCGTTAAACCCAATTTGCCCGCTTTCTCCTTTTTACGCAAGTTATTCATTCAGAAGTCACTGACCTACCTAATTAAACATGCATTATGCAAAAGGTAAATCTACCTATTGCACGTCTCTAAATTATTAACTGGATATTTATTAACATGACAAAACCTTCATCAACTCTCGATGCCATCTTTTGTATCCGATTTTCATTGGATTTGAATCCGATCTGCTATTTAAACGCCCATTGATGATTAACTATGTAAATTATCGTGACAGAGTTGACAATGACAATCGAGGCTACAGTAATTTGAAAATAAGATTTACAGCATATTCCCTTTACATTATCTAGTGTTTAACTATTGTAGTGAGAACTACTAGCTCCTTATCTAATCTTCCATAATGTATCTTTAAGTTACACCAGTGGCGGCGCCACGGTGAATAAATCCCACATCCCCACTCAGTCATAAACTTGCATGTTGTAGAGCATTTCCGACAGTCTATTTTTCAAAATTTTCTTCGCGAGGTCCCCAATGGACTCGCCACTTTGGTGCTCACAAGGGGAATTCGTTGAGGTTCGCAAGTCCGTTCGTTTGACATTCTGTTCTCTAGTCGGATAAACTAGTGATCAGGCGACGGACGGTATCTGGTCAGATCTATTTATCTCGACGATCGGTGTCTGACAGAATACTGTAAGACAGCATTTCCGACAGTCTATTTTTCAAAATTTTCTGGGGGAGGACTCCCTTCTTTGACGCTCTTGAGTGGGCTACGTCGTGATTCGCAAGTCCGTTCGTTTGACACTTTACCTCATCGATCAGTGAGTGAAATACTGCCAGGCTGCATTTCCGGCAACCTGTTTTTCAAAATTTTCTGGGGGAGGCCCCCTACCCCTAGTTGAAGCTCGTGCCTTTGCCCCCTTAACCTTGGACTTTGCCCCAGCTTTGCCCCTCCAATCACCGACGGCTGGCGCCGCCACTGAGTTACACCATTAAACCAAATCTTTCCATTTATTTGAATTGGTATTTATGGTTTATTTCTTACAATTCCTGTATAGTTGGTCTTGTCCGTAGGTTTGCCTTATCGTTATTTTTCTGTGCGTAGTGCGGTGCCCCTGCTCTTACTATTATAAGACGTATTACGTGATCATACGATTGGATCACTTGCTCCAGAACCTGCCATTCTAGTAAAACCAGATTAGACCGAGGATCATTTCTCTAACTATTGGTGCCTATTGTAAGATCATACGACTGGGACGGGGACCTGATTGATTATTAGTTTGCTGCGGTGACCGCATGAAAGCCAGATCGATCCCACGAGGGCACAAAAACTCAATAGTAAGATCGTTAGCTTGTGTCTAAGCTGTGTCGATTATTTTTTTTTTGTCACAAGGGACGACAGACCGCGGGCATCCAGGGTAGCATCCGATCAAACCCGGGGACTTTCTTGGTCAAACCAGGCCAATTTTTAAGGCCAAAGTTCAGGGGTGTTTGCCCCACAACTGAAAAAGATTGGTGGGTCAGAGATTTTCTCTCTTAAAATAGCCAAGAATGGTCATTTGAGGGCCAAAATTTCAAAACTTTCGCGGGGTAGGAGCCCAGAACCCCCGCGAGCCCGGGAAAGAGACCCCCCCCCCACACACACACACATATTGCCCCCATCAGTTGCCAAACCTCGCAAAATGGCCTCGACGAACATAACTGACTAAAAATTACACTAAAAGCAGAGACGGTCGAGTGTAAATCAGTTTATATAAATTCATAATACATGTACATTATTGCATTATTATTATATGCGTTGCGGTCCATCTGTGTCCATTTCTTAGCTGCCAAATAATAGAGATTTAGCTCCTTTAAAGACTAGTGTTCGGATATTCGAACACAAATAATATTGGAATATTCAACAGGTCTTGAAATTCGTATTCGAATAGTATTAGAATACTATTCGAATATTTTCAATATATTTAAAGTGGTTTATATTCAATTTATTATAAGTCTTAATCAATTATTAAGTACTTGAAATCTCTGTTGACTCATGAACAATGCACAAGACAATATTTTAGCAATTGCCAGTGGATCTTTTACGTAAACATAAGAACTCGGCCTTCCACGATATCATTCGTGGGTCTAGCCCTGCAGCAATTTCCATCATTTCACGAAAATCACATTTGTTCAGAAACGTGAGAGAGAGAGAAATGGAGTTTAACGTCCACTCGACACAAACTAGGTCATTTCGGGACTAACATATGGTTTAATCTTATTTCAATAATTCGCTTGCGCGTAGGGGTCTTTAGCAGTGGGAGGAAACCGGAGGACCCGGAGAAAACCCACGAGGTTGGACAGGCGACCCTACTCCTTCTCACGTACAACCGGGGATTCGAAACCACTCCAGTCGACTCAATGACAGACTTTATGATACAGCACGCGCACGCTAACCATTCAGCCATCCACCCCCCCCCCCCCCTCAGAAACGCGAAGTCTCTCAAGCAGGTCACACACTGATTTAGCATCGGGTTCCCTGGCTACTTACCGAATAACTGTCTCTGAAGACGGTAGATCTATGTAGGGGTAGCACCCTTACAAGATGTGAGAGAGAGAGAGAGAGAGAGAGAGAGAGAGAGAGGGGAGGGTAACGTCCACTCGACACAAACTAGCTCATTTCGGGGAATCGAAACCACGACGGACCTTATGATACATCGCGCACACGCTAACCATTCGGCCATCCACCTCACCCCACCCACCCCTCCCCCTTGGAAGCTGCAGTTAGGTAATCTAAATAGGCTTTGAATGTAAATATGGCAAGGAAGGTCGCCTTTAATAATATTTGAGAGCAAATAGAATAAATAATGTAGATATTCGAAAATATTCGAATATCGTGATTGCCATTCGAATATTATTTTCGACGAGCGAATGTTCGAATATTCGAATATTCGTGCCGAACACTATTAAAGACGTGTTTTGCTGATACGACACGTTGCTATGTGTGTTTTTATTTATTTATTTTTTTTTTGTTTTTTTTTTGGGGGGGGGGGGGTTGTATCTATTTATTTATTCCTTGCTAACGATACTATTTGTTTATGAAATATATTGCTACGAATTAATCTATGTATTTATTTTTTTTTCTTTTTATTTGTTATTAGTACTGTATTTTATTCTTCCTTTTATTTGATTTTGTACGGAATTAAATTTATTTATTTATTTATTTATTTATCGATTCATTCATTCATTATTTTATTGTATTATATTTTGATTTATTTATTTATTTATTTATTTATTTATCGATTCATTCATTCATTATTTTATTGTATTATATTTTGATTTTAAAAAACACCAAAAAATAGCATTTTATATTTCATGGGGTAATAATAATAGTATTTGATTCTCTCTGGTTTTGTTAGTTTTAATTTGGAGGGGTTTGTTTTATTGTTGGATTTGTTTTTTACTTTTTAAATTAAAAAAAATATATATATATATATATATATATATATTCGAAATAAAGATGTTTTAGGAATATATATATATATTCGAAATAAAGATGTTTTAGGAACAAAAACTAGGTTTTTGCGAGTACTTTCCGCTTTATTAAGCTTCTTCAGGCAAATTGGTAAAATTTGCCTGAAGAAGCTTAATAAAGCGGAAAGTACTCGCAAAAACCTAGTTTTTTTTCCTAAAACATCTTTATTTCGAATGTCTAACACCTAAGAGTAGCTTTAACTATAACCTTTTATTATATATATATATATATATATATATATATATATATATATATATATATATATATGTGTGTGTGTGTATTGTTTTGTTAGCCTAGTTAAACTTAGGCCCCGTATCAACATCTTATGAACACTTTTATTGTTTACATATCGATAATTAAAATCTCCTTTAATGACCCCCATTCATATCTAAAGTAATGACGTAACATTGACGTCAATACTGATTCCAGTCAGGTCAGTGTTATAAAACAAATGTCAAAGGTTACACGAGCCATAAGGTTCGGCTTTTAAAGGGGATTGATAAAGTTGGTTTATTTAAAAAAAACTACGCCATGGGCGAAAGAAAAAACCCCAACACAATTAACTCAAGTAAATAAAGTATTATGAATTGCTATAATTTAATGTCTAGAATATGAACTACTAATTACTAATTTTGGGTCTACAACAATGTGTCAATTATGTAGTTCTAGAATTACAACCATACAGCTTCTTCTCGGCTGGCTCTGGGAAACTGTATCGTTTTAAAAGTTACTATTAATTTTTTTTTCACCCAATAGTTGTGTCCCTTTAAAAGGTAATGTAGGCCTCACGTGCTACACGATATCGTGTACGTCAAGTGATAGTGTAGTAAGTAAAGATAAAGTCGCTTGAGCAAACATTTCGGTTATTATCATTATTTAGTATTATTGGTATACACATCTACTACGTGGTTCTCCCTTGTCAGTGATGCAGGACGGAGGGCATGACAAGGACAGCTGTCTAGTCGTTCGGATGGTATGAAAAACCGAGGTCGCCTGTACACATTGGCGTGCACGTAAAAGATCCCTTGACAGTTGGAATTCGATATAAGAGTAGGCCGTAGTGCCGCTGTCCGGGCAAAATTTCCCTCATAGCACACTGTATGGCGTATGCCCGTTTTCATTAGCCCAGTTCGGAGCAGAACAGTAGGACGTTAAACCCCATTTCATTTCATTTCATTTCATTTCATTTCTACTACAACTACAAAGACATGTATAAATAATAGCACCACCGAGTGTAGCACAAAGACATCGAGCGCATGTCCAAAACCTGCTCTTGCGGGGCGGAGAGCGGTACATTTAAACTTATCTGGGTACTTTCAAACCTGCTATTGCGGGACGGAGAGCGGTACATTTAAACTTATCTGGGTACTTTCAAACTTATCTGGGTGGGGGCGGGGGGTAAACCCATACCCATCATTCTCGCTGGAACACCCCTCCCCCCCACCACACACACACACACACAAGATCATTTTTCAACACACGACCATGAACATGTTAGCACAAAGACACTCATCAATTACCAACCTAGAAAAGCTAATACCATATTCAAGTCTGAGTAGTACGTTCTCGTTGTGTGTGTGATTTTGTTGTTTTTGGATTTGTTTGGGGTTTTTATTGATTTTTTTGGGGGGGGAGGGGGGGGGGGGCTTTGATGTACTATTTTATTTTTGTATTATATAAAAAAATAAAACGGAACGATATAAACTAATGGAAGAGCAACCTTTATATAGGTATAAAATATTTAGTGTTAGTTTCAAATAAATCTTAAATATCCTGTTTGTATGTGTTCTGAGTGTGAATAAATTAAATTTATTTCTGTACATACTGAAGAGGAGTCAACATAGGTCTAGTCTGGTCTGTTCCCCAAATCTATTTAAAGAAAATCAGGCATTCTTTATTTTAAAAAATGCAGTTCATGGGTAAAGGGGATAACAAAGAACATACTTGATAAATAAAATATAAATAAAAAATTACACGTAATGAATAATTTACATATTAAATGGATCACTCGACAAAAGCCGTTTAAATGAAATGAAATGGGGTTTAACGCCAAACTGTGACCCTACTGGACTAATGAAGATGTTAATACCCATTTAAATAAAAACGTCTTTAGTTTTAAAGTGTAGTTATTCTAAATTAAACACGCGCATTGTGCAAGGGCTAAATCTTCCTATTGCACAGATCTTTCTTTATTATCGTATCAACAGTAGTAATGACGATCGAGGCTAGCTTAAAATTGAATCGCTATAAATATCTCGGTTCAGAGTGAAGCAATTTAACTGAAAGGTTAATTCAGCATAATATTCTGTTTTCATTATCTATTGTTTTTTAAGTATTTTAGCAAAAGTATTTTAGGCCTACCGAATTCCACTTTAAGATATGGCCAATTAAGTTTTAAATTTATTTCTATTGATTATGCACTGTCATAATTTTGTCTTAGACGAATAGGTCATGGACCTTGGTTATAATAATTCTACTTTCATTTTCGTACAAGCAGTCCACTACTCGTGGGGATTTACGGTAGCTCAGTATGTAGGACGTTGGTTCGCTAACCTAGAGGTCCCGTGTTCGATCCCTGCGTTGACCGATTGGCAGTGGTGTAGGACTTCTAACTAAATACAAATTGCTAAATTTCGCTCAAAGTGAAAGAAGAAAAGCATTCTTATATTAAATAGTAAATTTATTTTTTATCTTTTGATTCATCTTTGGGATTTAAACCATATTTGAACCACTCTAGCTGAAAATAAAACAAATGAAACCGTAAATATATCGGTAATTTACACCAAAGATCTAGAACAATTCTGATCCAATTGGTCTTCCGTATAGTCTGTCACAGGGCGGGTCGCTTAAAAATACCGGAAGTGAAACTTTTAACTTTGAAGATGGCGGCTATCGATGAAGTTTTAGCCGATTGTGCCGATTTGGATGAAAGTTTATCAAGTTTGACTGAGACAGATGAACGTAAAACATTGATCAATAAACACATAGAAAAACTGTCCAATAGACGATATTATCAAATTCCTGAATTTTCTAAGGGTAATATGATATTTGACATTTTGAATTCATATTAGCTGTGTAAACTTGTAAAGTGTGTTTGTTTACTTTTAATTTTACAGTTTCATCATGACTCAATAGTTATTAAATGGTGTATAAAATTCTGTTTTAACATTAAACAAACATTTGTTTGTTCAGGTTGATTTTATTGCTTACTTTATGGAGAAATTTCAGAAGCTGTCTACCATCTGTAATGCTTATTCTTAGCAGATGCAAAAATACAGGGGATCAATGACAATTGAACTTTCCAGAATAAAATTATTTGAATGATGTCAATCAAGTAAATGAAATGGGGGCTGCTCCGACAGGACTTATGATGTAAATTATGTTAATTATGTAAACACAGGAGTACTATTTCAGTAACATACCTCTACCAGTTCCCATGATTGTAGAGACTTGAAATTTCCAGGGAATGTTCAAGAGGACTAGCCATGACCCCACACCAAATTTCAGCACAAGCCACCAACTCGTATGATATTATCAATTGTATGATTCTGCTTAGGCTTACAACACATCTGTTTTCTGGACTGACACTGTACCACCCCCTCTATAGCCATGGGCCCGCGGTAGTTCAGTGAGTAAGACGTTGGATCGCTAAATTCATTGTGATTTCCCGGGGGTGGTTCCCCCTTGTCGACTTGTCGTTTATGTACCAGTATAGTCATTGACAGTTGCAATTCCAAATAAGAGTAGACCATAGCTCTTGCCCGTCTTTATAAGCCCAGTTGGTTCCGAAAAGTAGGGTGTTAAAAACCCAATTTCATTTCAGCTGCAATGATTTTCAAAATTACATGTACATGTACTTTTATTAGTTTTATATTCCTGGTAAAAGTAAATACATCTATTCTTATTTTTTTTGTCTATCTTTGCAGAATTTGAATGGTTAAACGTGTCTGAACCCCTGTTATTGTCCAATCAGTTGAAAGGAAAAGTTTTGGTGCTGGATTTCTTCACGTATTGCTGTATTAACTGTATGCACGTCTTACCAGATCTTCACGAACTTGAGAGAAAATTCACAATAACTGATGGAGTTGTGGTTCTTGGAGTACATTCAGCTAAGTTTTTAAATGAGAAATTAACTGCTAATATTCTGAGTGCCGTTTTACGCTACGACATCACACATCCAGTCGTCAACGATTCCGAAGCCTCATTATGGCACAAATTACAAATCATGTGCTGGCCAACATTTGTAATTGTCGGCCCTCAAGGTCAGTTTCTCTACAACCTTGTAGGTGAAGGTCACAAGGATCAGTTATTTGAATTCGTAGACATAGCTGTAGAATATTTTAAAACTGTCGGAGAAATAAAATCCCATGATTTGCCAATTTCTTTGGAAAAAAATCGGCTTCCTGATTCGCCTCTTAAGTTTCCGGGTAAAATTGAATTTAATGGAGATAGCTTGATCATCAGTGATTCTGGAAATCATCGGCTTGTGATCATAGATTTGAATGGAGTTGTCCAGGTAAGATTACATTCTACATAATATGGGAGCCACGGTGACTAAGTGAGTAAGATGCTGACTCCCTAGCCTGGAGGTCGTGGGTTCGATCCCGGTGTTGACCGAGAAAGTTCATGTGGATTTTCTGACGTGGTTTTCCCCATGTCAGTGGTGCAGAACAGAGGGCCTGACAAGGACAGCTGTCAAGTTGTTTGTATGTGACAAAAAAAAAACGAGGTCCCATGTACACATTGGCGTGCACATTAAAGATCCCTTGGCAGTTGGAATTCCATATAAGAGTACGCTCTAGAGCTGCTGTCCAGGCAAAATTTCCCTCATAGCATACTGTATGGCGTTTGCTCGTCATCATTAGCTAAGTCGCAGCAGAACAGTAGGACGTTAAACCACATTTTATTTCATTTCTATATGAAATGTTAAACACTTAGACCATCACACACCACCCTAACTACGGCTGCTGAGTTGATCCCCAAACCGCATCGTTATGTGCCCAGCTGTACCGCCCACATGAACTAATAAATTGTCCTATAATACAGAAATCTATTCACATATCATGGGTGGTGTGAGGTGGTCAAGGGAACAGCCATCTTGGTATGTACTGGTATTAATATTTCACTTTTCTCTAATTTTCGTCAATGGGTGGGGGTTAACATCCTACTTTTCTGCACTAGTGGTCATGGGGCTCATGAAGACGGACGTACATTTGTACACCATGTACATGTAATGTGCTAAGCTTAGCTTAGGCTGTCTGGTACATCACATCCACTACTGGTATTTATAGTAGGATAATGGTATCAGGTCTAGAGTAAGGTTTCTGGTACACCACACCCACCACTGATGTTATACTACATGTAGTAGGAAAGTGGTATCAGGTGTTCTAGGGAGAGTAAGTTTACCCTGCCTGGTATACCACACCCACTACTGATATTTATAGTAGGATAATGGTATCCGGTGTTCTGGGGAGAGTAAGTTTACCCTGCCTGGTATAACTGTCATTATATTAAGATAGTGGTATCAGGTGTTCTAGTAAGCTTAACCTGCCTGGTACACCACACCTACCACTGTTAATGTGAATTGAATGGCTGGACTATGATCTGATATTCTGTGATTGATAAATGATATTTACAGGAAGTAATAGGTAGTGGAAGTCGAGGTTATAAAGATGGTGATTTTAATACAGCAAGTTTCTCGTCACCTCAAGGAACAGTAGTTAAAGATAATGTTATATATGTCGCTGATACTGATAACCATACTGTTAGAAAGGTAGGTTTCATCATAAGATCTGTCATTGAGTTGAGTCAACTCGTGTGGTTTTCATTCCTTGTTTGTACGTGACAAGAAGTAGCGCCGCCTGTCCAACCTCCAGGTCCTCCGGTTTCCTCTCAATCAAAATAAAATTGAACCACATGTTAGTCCCGTAATGATCTAGTTTGTGTGAAGTGGATGTTAAACTCTCTCTCTCTCTCTCTCTCTCTCTCTCTACATGTAGTTTGCAAGCTAGAAATCAAGATACCAAGATAGTTATACATGTAGGTGCCGCTGGTTTGTTTAGAGTACATTTTAGCATGGATTTAGATCTTGTCAGAGGTGAAGGACAGAAGGCCTGGCAAGGAACAGTGTCTAGTCTTTCACATTAATGCTGGTTGGTTATGGTCATTGCAGTCATGATACGATACATATTGCAATTCAGGATAAACAAAAAATTGATATTTTTAGTCCTGGCGATGTAGAAGAAATAAAACTGTTTTATATCACTATATTAATGTGGAGCAAAATGAGGACCAAAACAATTTAAGCGACAAAAAAAAAACAAAACACGAAAAAAGAATCGCGATACATCGATTTACCCTCTGCGATTCAATACGCGAATCGTTTGAAGGTGAATCGAGATAGATCAATTAAACAATATATCATGCCAGCACGATGTCAGATGGTGCGAAAAACCGAGGTACTACTGTGTACACATTAGCAGGCATGTAAAAGAACCATTGACATGCCACTATCTAGGCCAAATTCCTTTATAGCTTGGTGGGTTGGATGGTCGAATGGTTGACACATGCGTTCTGTATCATATGGTCTGTCATTGAGTCAACTGGCGGGGTTTCGATTCCCCAGTTGTACGTGACAAGGAGTGTGGTCGCTGTCCAATCTAGTGGGTTTTCTCCGGGTCCTCATGTTTCCTCCTACTGCTAAAGACCCCTACGCACAAGTGAATTATTGAAATAAAATTGAACCATGTGTTAGACCCGAAATGACCTAGTTTGTGTCGAGTGGACGTTAAATCCCATTTCTCTGACTCGTGGGTTGCTAAACCTATTTCATTCCCTGTCTAGTATTTGTATATGTTTGTAGGTAGATCTTATATCAAGAAATGTAACTACAGTGATAGGTACCAGACAACAAGGAGATGATAAAGTAGGCGGTAAGATTGGTACCCAGCAGATTATCTCCTCACCTTGGGATCTCACACTCGGAAAATCACCAGGTAATTCATCAGCAGCTACGGTGTTAGGATATTACTGACTCTGTAAGGAGTAAACATAACAGACTCACATACAACAGACAATCGCTTATAACGGACACAATAGTTTGGTCCCGATTTTTGTAATAGAAATTTCTCATTTTCAGTCTTTTATAGCGGACACTGTATAATGGACAATCGTTTATAACGGACGATTTTCATCGGTCCCTAATCGACAAATCAATGTAAAGTCTATTTTTATAACGGACTCTGTGATACACAGAACAAAATGATGATAATATTGATTTTATTATCGGTGACTGTAATACTTTTCCCAGAAAATATCCATAGTGATTTTATGGGAAACTTGTGAATACATACATGACTTTTATGTAAATACATGTATGTTCTGTAGATTCTGCATATGATAAATGTTGTTATTTCATGGGGTGGTGTTACCTTCTGGTCTCTAATTCAGGGTCGATAGCAGATTTTTTGTATAACGGACACTGTTTAAAAAGGCCAATTTCTTCCGGTCCCGAGGTATCCGTTATATATACTGTACATGTTTACCCCCACCCCCATGACACAAAATCACATTGTTTTCATTTTATCTCAGTAAGTTGTTAACCAGTAAACTTTAACTAAACAAATTCACGTGTAACAGAATGTCAATATTGACATTGACTCAATGACAGAACTTATGATCTAAATCGCATGTCTTAGACCATTCACCCACCCGACCCCCACCGTCCGATTGACTTGAACTTCATTTGTAATGTTATGAATGATCATGAAACGAATATGTCTACTACTGTCAGACTAACAGCCTTTGATCGCTTTAAAATAACCTGTGCTCTAGAGAATTAGGGAGCCACAGTAGCTAAGTGAAAAAGATGCTGGCTCGCTAGCCTGGAGGTCGCATGTTTGGTCCCAGTAGTGGCAGAGAAAGATCATTGTGAGGTCCCGTGTGTACACATTGGCGTGCACGTAAAAGATCCCTTGGCAGTTGGAATTCGATATAAGAGTAGGCTGTAGCACCGCTGTCCAGGCAAAATTCCCCTCATTGCACGCTGTATGGCATATGGCCGTCTTCATTAGCCCAGTCGGAGCAGAACAGTAGGATGTTAAGCCCCATTCATTTCATTTTGCTCAAGAGAATAAACTTGAAATTTGTATTTGTTCATGAGAGGAAGAAACCTTTCAACTATTTCTAATCACTATTATCAGAGTAATTGGCCTTGAAATCTTCCAAATTCAAACTGGTAAAGTTGTTCACCGGTACATGTTTTATGTTAGCTCTATGAAGAACTAGAATCCAATCAAATATTAATTATACATGTATCTGACAGTTACACTTCATGGGTTGTTTCCCTTGATTAAAGTCATCTGGTAAATGTTACCAACCCCTAGAAGAGAATAAAAATAAAAATTTATGGACCCTTCGTATGACTCAGCTGCTGTTTGTATATGTATCATTGACGGGCAACCTATATTATTACAGGGTCTACTGTAGAAGATGTTTTATATATCGCCATGGCTGGAACTCACCAGATCTGGATTTATTGTTTACAAGATATAACTTGGTATAAAGGCCTGTAAGTCAATATTTTCTTGAATTTTGCTTCCCATTATTGAAAAGTTGATATCATTGACCAATGAACCAAATTTTTTTAATTTAAATTTAAATATATGGCACATGCCACAAACCAATCTGATTAGAACAGAGATCCTATTTCATTTTGTTTTTTATTGTTCTAAATTTTGTTTTAGACTAGGATCTAGAAAAGTTGTTATATGACCCATGTTCTGGTTGATGTGACAAATTAGCCAATGAAACGATCTGTTACGGTGAGTTCTTGGCACACAGTGCACAGAAGTGTAGATATCCCACTAGAAACATCAAGGCTGATTGGTTAATCAAATGTCTGATGTCATAGTGTCAAAAGCCGTTCGTATGACCCCTGATGCGACCATCCACTGCAACTGGCCAGATTTCATATAGTGGAGGCCATCGAAAGTATAAAAGAAACGAAACGAAATGTAGATCTGTATATTAATCAGATTGGGCACAAACAGACCAAAGCCGTCATTTTATATACATGTACATGTGCATAATGTTTATTAGTAAGCTGCTGTGGGCATATGTTTTATTCACTGGCAACCTATCTTATGTTTTTGGCAGGAAATACCCAGCTTTTACCTGCGTTAGGTTTGTTGGTAGCGGAGCAGAAGAAAACCGAAACAATAGTTATCCCCAGAAAGCTGGCCTGGCTCAACCATCGGGCGTAGTAATATCACATGATGAGGAAGTAAACAGTCTTTTTATTGCTGATAGCGAGAGTTCTACTATAAGAACGATAAGTTTAAAAGATGGAGCTGTTAAAAATCTAGTTGGTGGAGAACGAGATCCAAACGTAAGAATAATTCAGTTTTTATAACAACATCAGTTAGATTGTACTCTTAAAGATGCGGGGAGGGGGGGCTCCGGTTTCCTCCCACTGCTAAAGACCCTTACGCACAAGCGAATTATTGAAATTATGTTATTCCTGAAGTGACCTACTTTGTTCCGTGAGGACATTAAAACCCATCTCTCCCTCGTTTGAAGTAGATTAGAACGCTGCTTCTGTCAGTTAATGATATAATTTAAAAATGGAGAAGCGAGAAGTATCATTGTTACGATAATAAACAATTACTGCCACATACATGTATTATCAAAACTCCAAACAGTGATAACTTCGTTCAGAATAAAGTAATTTGAATGAAATTTTCAATATATTCATTTTGCATTATCAATTTTTGAGCTATTATAGGAAGAACAACTAGATCTAAATCTTATATAATGCATCTTTAAATAAGGAATTTGACCACCTACCTGTATTAGCATGGTTAAAGGAGCTAAATCGCTAATATTTTGGGGCCTAGAAATTGGGACAAATGGGTCCCAACACATATTATAATGCAATATGAATTTATATAAACTGTTTTACATTCAATCGTTTCCGTTTTACTGTGAATTGTCATCAGTTATGTTCGGCGAAATACGCCAGAAGTCTCAACCGAAAGACAGTTTCTAGCATCTGGTTATTCCAGTCAACACTGATAGTATATATTGCGCATGCTCTCCAAATAAGAATATGGCATCACCGTATGACATGACTTGTGGAATATGTCTAGCCTCATTCTCAGAGCACCTTGTTACAAATGGCGCTGAAACACATTATGGTACACGATTCGTGTACCAATGGTAAAATGTTTATTTTGTCTTAAATATTGGATATCAGAAGCCCATCTTTTCCAGGTAAGACCACAACACCAATGCTGATTTAAATTGCAAAAGAATTTGTGTTTTCAATGTCGAAGATTTTGGATGATATTGAGTTACGGACTTAGCTACTTTAATACTGCACCATGAATATTTCAATATTTTGTCCTCAAAATGCACATAGCTTGTGTTCACTTCCCACCAACATTATAACTGGTTTGATTTCTATAGGAGTTGCGATGGACAAGTAAGATGCTGCTTCACTTACTTGTGATGATTCAGGTGTCCGTCAAGAAAGTTCGTCAGGATTTTCCAGCGTGGTTATCCCTTGCCAGTGGTGCAGGATGGGACAATAGGAATTCGAAATAAGAGTAGATTGTAGCAAAATTTCTCTCATGGCACACTATGGTGTATGCCATGTTCATTAGCCCAGTCTGAGCAGAACAGCAGGATATTAAATCCCATTTCATTCTAGTTGATTTTTATAAGAGAGGTTGAATCAAAGAGTTCACTCCCTTTGTACAAACAGAAGGGTTGTCTCAGCTAGGTTCTTTGATTGCCCGTCTTCATTAGCCCAGGTTAGGAGCAGAAAAGTAGGACGTTAAACTCCATTTCATTTCATTTCATTTTCTCATACTGCAAAGCAAAATAAAACCTTAGAATATGTTAGTCCCAGTATGATCTAGTTTGTGTCAAGTAGACTCTCTCTCTCTCTCTCTCCCTCTCTCTCTCTCACAGGGAATAGCGTTGCCTGGCTAACCTTGTGAGATTTTTCTGGTTCCCCCAATTTACTGGTAGAACTCTTCTTTCTGTCTCTTTTCCTCCTTCTCTCCATCTATCACTGATTATTTGTTGTATATATTATAGAATCTGTTTGCCTTTGGTGATGTTGATGGTAAAGGAGTTGAAGCTAAGTTACAACATCCACTAGGTGTTGCTTTATTACAAGATAAACAGCAACTATTGATAGCTGACTCCTATAATCATAAGGTGAGACAATCATTAACCTGGGTTTTCTAGGGGGATTTCCCCTTTGATCTGAAGTACAGAGGAACTAGCAAGGAACAGCTTTCAGTAGATCAGATACATGTAGGATAAAACAAATGAGGACTCTCGTTATCTAGGCAAAAGCTCACTCCATGTTTTTTTTTTATAGAAAATAGAAATTAAATGAGGACTCTTGTTATCCAGGCAAAAGCTCATTCCATGGGTTTTTTTTATAGAAAATAAAAATTAATCGCATTTGTCCATCTTAGATTCACAAGAAACTTTTTATCTACTGTTGTTGGTCATATGCCTCCCAACCAGAATGTCCCAGGTTAAACTCCAGGCATGGGTCGACAAGAACCCTCAGGATTTTAAAGCACACTTATCAGGGTGTGACACCTGCTGGACGGACGTTTGGATTGTGTGATTAACTGAGAATAAAATTGGCTCGTATTTAAAAAAAAAAAAATTGTCCTAAGCCAAAAGTTCATTAGGATTTTCTGGCATGGTTCCCCCCTTCTCAGTGGTGCAGGATGGACTATCGTGTACACATTGGCATGCATGTAAATGATCCCTAGACAGTTGTAATTCGCTACAAGAGTAGGCCATAGCGCTGCTATCTGGCAGTGCCGGACTGGGGGGTCGAAGGCCCACCTGTCAGGTCATTTACCAAGGCCCACACAAGTACCCGCCGAAGGGGTGTCACGAGCGCGGTCCGAGGGGGGTCTTTGGGGCTCTCCCCCCAGGAAAATTTTAAAAATTGACAACCGCAAACCCATTTTCCAAGCATTTCAGACCAAAGCAGTAGAAGGCAAATGTTTGATTTCCTGATACAATTAGATAACAGAATGACCTAAGAGCACTATTATTAGATGAATTTGAGAATTCTAGTACACTTATTTTTTTGTGTTTTTTTTCATTTTTTCCTTTCTTTTCTTTCTCCTGTCCTGTCTCCTGTCCTCTCCTTCCTTCTTTCTTTTCTTTCTTTCTTTTCTTTCCTCCCCCTCTCCTTTCTTTCTCTCTTCTTTTTTTTTCTTTTTTCTTTCTCTTTTTTTCTTTTTTCTTTGTAGGCTTAGGCCCACTTTTTTAAATGAGCTTAGGCCCACCTGTCATGGACAGGTGGACAGGTGGGCCCAGTCCAGCACTGCTATCTGGGTAAAATTTACACTGAGTCTGTATGGTGTATGCCCATCTTCATTAGCCCTGTAGGTACAGAACAGTAGGACATTAAACCCCATTTCATTTCATTTTAACCTCCATTCCTTGGTAGGGTGACCCACCATAAATAAATATCTCCATATATCTCCATATATCTCGACAATTACGCCACAATATATATATATATGCCAAGCCTCAAATCAGTTTCACACAATTATAGTCACTAAATAAACGATCATGTTGTACTTAATAAGCTATGACCATTAATCATCTATAAATAATAGACTGAAAACTGGTTCCAAGTGTCGTCCATAACATCCAGACACTTTTGAGTAAAAGATAGGTTACGTGCCCTTGTTTGGAAATTAGTCTCACTTAACCAGTCTATCGACCATTCTACGTCTGATTGACAGGTCGGGATAATCAAGACTACTTTTTTACGAAACATAACAGAAAGCTAGAACAAGAAATTGAATTTAGAAATAAGCACGTTAGGTAGCTCAACAATCGTTTTAAGAACCTTGTAAAAGTAAAATGAAACTACTGGTAGTATCATGTTCCTGTCTAACCCGAGTGATTCAGAGATATTATTTGTACTAAACCAAAAGATGCCGCTCTTAACGGTACAGTTAATGATAAAGCGATTTAAAAAATGAAACGAACGTAATTTCTAAATCTGCTGTAATAACCAAGAAGCTTAATTTCACTGCTATTCAAAATCGTCAACAATAAATTTTTTACGGCTGTAATAGTTGATAGATTTGTAGAGAATTGCACGTGCCATGGCTATTTATAGTATCATACTGTCAGAAAGTTGGTATCGGCACGGCGAATGAGTACGCTTCAGTGGTAGTCTCGAACTATCAGCGGTGGACTTTATTTCTGTACAGTACATGGGCCACCCTATCCTTGGTCTTAATTATGTTTGAAGGTTTATTACAGTTTTCTTACCCTATTTTTACTTTTTATTTTTTCGCTCTCTTTTAGATAAAAAGTGTTGACTTGAAAACGAAGATGTGTACTACTATATTAGGTAATGGTAGTCATGGTAACCAGGGAGATAACTCTACTAGTGTTTTAAATGAACCAGGAGGATTGTGTGTTGATGGAAAGAAAGAAATAGTTTATATAGCCGATACAAATAACAGTGAAATTAAAATACTTGATTTAAAAACATCAAAATTATCAAAGGTAAGAAGGCAAAACCCATCTAATGTTTAGCTTTTCGGGATCTGGTGGGTGTGACTCAGTGGGTAGGGCGCTGGTTCACCAAACAGGGGGTCTGAGTTTGCCAAGAAAGTTCCTTTCAATCTGATTAAAACACAGATCATACATTGTTTTGTTTTTATAGTCCAAAATTTTGTTTTACTTGGCTTCAGTACACCGGGATCTAGAATAACATTGTTAAATAATGCAGGTTCTGATTGATGTGAGGGATTAACCAATTAAGTGGTTTGTTGAGTCAGGTTTTTATGTAGCGTGCCAAACTGTGGGTAGACATTTGCAGCAATAGAAAATGAAACAAAGCAAATGTTGTACTTCCAATTTGGTTAATCGAATGACTGATTTTAATTGGTCAGAAATCAGTCATATGATCCTTGACATGATGTATTTTATCAGATTGACTCCAGTCTGATTTGCAAGGGTTTCCTCAATCCATGAAATGACATGCAGAGACTTTAAATGAAATGAAATGGGGTTCAACTTCCTGCTCTTCTGCTCTATCCAGGCTATTAAAGTTACAATTTCTTATTTTCTAAGAAAGTCAAAACATAATTATTTGTATGTCTTTTGCTCAATAGGTTGTCAACTCACTATTATAGGATCATAGGTTATCTTTCTCACACTTAAAAATCTAAACACCGGAAATAATAACACAATTACCTCCCTTGTTTTCCTATTCCCCACCATGGAATAGCTATCTTTAAACATTTGAATTTGAAGTTGAAAATTATATTTTTGCCAATTTCTCAACTGGCAATAGTGAATTATAGGATTAATAGGATTTTTCTTTAAGAAGGTAGGACTGTTTATAGATACCATCTATTTTAGGGCTTTATTGCATACCGTAGTTCATGATGGAGATATTGCCCAGGCAGTGGCGTTACAAGTTGTAGCTTACAACCTACTCTTATTTTGAATTCCAACTATCAATGATTCTTTTACGTGCACTGTGAACGACTAGACTTTGTTCCTTGTCAGGCCATCTATATCACTGACATGGGGAAACCATGCTGGAAAATCTCAATGAACTTTTTCAGCCAACACAGGGAGCGAACCCGCGATCTCCAGGCTAGCGACCACTTGATCTTTGCTTGGTTTCTCTGTCCTGCATCACTGACATGGGGAAACCACACCAGACAATAATCAACTCTCGATGGCATCGCTAGCCTGCGATGTTTATTTGATTACATTCCGATTTGCTGTTCGACTTCCATTCATAATTAAATCAAAAAATGGATAATCAAGACAATGTTTTTTATCCTACCGACTTAAATAATGATGATCAAGGCTAACCCCAATATTCAATCGCTAAAATCTTGGTTCATAGTGGAACAATTTGACTGAAATTTTCTGCAAATTCCCTTTACATTATCTAAGTTTTAACTATTATAGTGAGAACTGCCAGCTCTTTAACTAATCTCCCATAATGTATCTTTAATTAACTGTTAAATAATCACTCTGAGTGTCCTGTGGTGATGGGGCTTGTTCAGTGGCAGCACCCATCCAATGGAATAAACTCCCAACAACATTAAAGGAAGCCAGAACATTAAAGTCCTTTAAATCATCCATGAAGACTCACTTATTTAATTGTAAATACCAAACATGATAGGGCAGCTCGGCGCTATCCAGTAGAAAAGTTCTAGATAAGAGACGCTATATAAATTCATTATTATTATTATTATTATTATTATTATGTTAGCACGGATTAAGCCATGATTAATTTGATATTTTAGCGAAAATGGAAATGACGGAAATGGAAATGACGCATAAAGCCTTTAAAGGACCTAAGTCCGTAACTCAAAATCCTCCAAAATCTTCGACATCGAAAACACAAATTATTGGTCAATTTAAATCAACATTGATGATGTAAACTTACCGGGAAAAGATGAGCTTCTGATATCCGATATTTAAGATAAAATAATTTTTTTAACATTGGTACACGAATCGTGTACCATAATGCGCTTCAGCCCCAGTTGTATTGAGAGACTCGAGGGACGAGGCTAGACACATTGCACCAAATCAAATGGAGTTATGTACTCTAGAATAACTAGAAGCTAGAAATTTGCACTCGATTGAGATTGCTGACTTATTTCGCCGAACATAACTGATTTGAAATTGGAGTAAAAACGGAAACCATTAAATGTAAATCAGTTTATATACATTCATATTACAGTATTATATGCGTTGCGACCCACTTTTGTGAATTTCTAGGTCCCAAATGTTAGCGATTTAGCTCCTTTAATTCAATGGTGTTTATATTTTACAGCTTCCTATAATATTTAGAGATGAACCTGTTTCTAGATTATCCAGTGAACATAGTATTGAAGCTGATGTTACAATAGAACAACCTGTAGTCTTTGTTCACCAGGACAGTACAGTGGCTATAGAGGTGGAGCTTATTTGCAATAGAAAAGAGAAACTGAATGAAGAAGCACCACAAAGCTGGAAAGTTTTAAATACTGGTAGGTACTTATACTAACATATTGTCACCATTTATATATATATAATTATAAACAGGGGGGTTTGGGTGGCCAAATTGTTAATGCGTGCCCATTGACGTGCACCTAATAGAACCCTTGGCAGATGGAATTTGAAATAAGAGAAGGCTGTATGTCCGTCTTTATTAGCCCAGTTGGAGCAGAATAGTAGGACGTTAAACCCCATTTCATTCCATGTATGTTTCTCATAGTTGGGAGGGGGGGGGGGGGGCGGAGGAGGGGGCTGGATGGTTAGTGCATGCGCACTGCATCATAAGGTCTGTCATTGAGCCAAGTGGCATTCTTTTGATTCCCCACTTGTATGTGGAAGGAGTAAGGTCACCTGTCAAACCTTGTGGGTTTTCTCCGGGTTTTCTCCGGGTTCTCTGGTTTTCTCCCACTGCTTAAGATCCCTACACGCAAGCAAATTAATGAAATAAAATTGAACATGTTAGTTCCGAAATGACCTAGTTTGTGTCCAGTGGAATTTTAAATTGGTATTTTTAACATGCATAGCAAGGTAGATACAGCATCTTGGTATTTTGTTTCATCCAAATGAGAACCCAACACTGTTGTTTGCCAGACCGATTTCGTGCAACACTGACACAGACATACCACACTGAAAAAGTCAATACCAAGATCCAACTGGGACCGCCTTGTTAGTGAGCCATCACCAAGTCACTGTCCACTAGTGGCCAAGTTGTCCAAATGGTTATGACCTAAAGATCTTACATGTAATTAAAGCTTCCACCAATCTTCTAACAAAGTTCAGTAACAAATCACAGAAAAATCATATCATAATTGATGCCTCTACAGCATTGGCCGAGAAAGTTCATCTGGATTTTCCGACGTGGTTTCCCCTTGTCAGTGGTGCAGAACTGAGGGCCTGACAAGGACAGCTGTCTAGTCCTTCGGATGAGACGAAAAACCGAGGTCCCGTGTATACATTGGAATGCACGTAAAAGATCCCTTGGCAGTTGGAATTCGATATAAGAGTAGGCGATAGTGCCGCTGCCCGGGCAAAATTTCCCTCATAGCACTCTGTATGGCGTATGCCCGTCTTCATTAGCCCAGTATAGGAGCAGAACAGTAGGACGTTAAACCCCATTTCATTTCATTTCTTTGGTGATACTTGATTGAATGGGATCTTGGGTCAGAATGCATGAAAAACTATCTCAACCAACCATGACAGCTGAAACGTATTCATTAGGTTTAATTACGTCACGATTCTACTCACACCACCTTCGTTGTCAGGACTGACAGAACTGTGACAGGACTGAATTCTGCGTCACTCAATTGCTTTTCCGTCACTTCGGAACGTTTCGGGCTGACAATCGAGCACCCCCATTGTTACGATATTATCAATGGGGAATAACTCTGGAGATAGACAAACCATATCAATTTCAAAGAGAAAGATGTATGGATGATGGTAGCCTCCATCTTGCCATAATGCAACATGAACAGCAGATGCGGGGGGGGGGGGGAGAGTGAACACCCCCAGCACAGCACTCCCTCCCCCAGGGCGCAGAAAACACTCCCAGCTCTGCACTCCTTCCCTCTTGGACAATCCGTCCCCCTTCATATTATTTTATTTTAATATTTTATTTCATTGCAGAAGGAAATCCTGGTTTACAGTTTATTGGTGGGTTGAAAGGAAAGTTAGTGGGAAACAAGAAACAGACTATTACTAAAGTAAAAGTAGAGAAGAGAGACAATAATGAGAAACAGACTATAATGATGTTATTTCAATTATTCACATGTCTTGTAGATAGTGATGTGTGTACAATGAAAAGAGTTTTAGTGACACAAACTTTAGATATAACCGCGTCTACTACTAACACTGATCATGTAACTCTAGCGATTAAATTATGATAGTGCGCTTTAAATCAAAAACACATACAAATAAATTGCAGTGCAAATAAAATGGGGTTTAACGTCCTACTTTTCTGCAACAAACCGGATAATGAAGACATGAAATGAAATTGGAGTTTGACATCATATTGAATTGGTGAAGGCTTGAAATAAGGTTAAACATTGTATATGTCGGTTCTATCCGGTCTAATGAAGACGAACATACCCATACAGTGTGCTATGAGGAAAAGTTTGCCAGTACTGCGGCGCTACGGCGCTACGGCCTACTGTTATTTCGAATTCCAACTGCCAAGGATTCTTTTACAGGAACACCAATTTGTACACAGGACCTGAACAACTATACCTTGTCCCTTGCCAGGCCCTTTGTCCTGGGGGTCACGGTGGCTAAGTGGGTAAGACGCTGGTCAGCTAGTCTGGAGGTCGGGTGTTTCGATCCCAGCATTGCCCGAGAAAGTTCATCCAGATTTTCCGGCGTGTTTCCCCCTTGTCAGTGATACAGGACGGAGGGGCTGACAAGGACAGCTGTTTAGTCATTTGGATGGAACGAAAAACCGAAGTCCTGTGTACACATTGGCGTGTACGTAAAAGATCCCTTTGACAGTTGGAATTTGATAAAAGAGTAGGCCATAGTGCCACTGTCCGGGTAAGATTTCCCTCATAGCACACTGTATGACGTATGCCCGTCTTCAATAGCCCAGTCGGAGCAGAACAGTAGGACATTAAACCCCATTTCATTTCATTTCCTTTCATCCTGCATGTGCGCACTGTATCATAAGGTCTGTCAACTGGTGTGGTTTCGATTCACCCGTTGTACGTGACAAGGAGAAGGGGCGTCTGTCCAACCTCGTGGGTTTTCTCCGGGTCCTCCGGTTTCCTCCCACTGCTAAAGATCCCTACACGCAAGCGAATCATTGAAATAAAATTGAACCATGTGTTAGTTCCGAAATGACCTAGCTTGTGTTGAGTGGATGTTTAACCCCATTTCTCTCTCTCTCTCTCTCTCTCTCTCTCTCTCTCTATCACCAGGCTGGAATGAATGACAGCAACTAGAAAGAGGCTATATTTTTTCTACTAAGATTTATTATTGTACAGTTTTACATATATAAAAATAAAATATATAAACATACACACATAAAAATACATGTTCACATAGACGTAGATATTCAAATTGAGTATTGAAAAATAAATGAGACAATGGAGACTTCAGTATTGACTAGTAATATTTAACAAAATAAATGAGACTATGGAAACCCTGCGTCAGTAACTATGGAGACCTCACGTGAGTATCTATGGAAACCATGTAAGTTACTATGCAGACCACACGCGGGTAACTATGGAGACTAAATGTGGATAACTATAGAGACCTGTCTCAAGTAACTATTGAGGCCTTTGTTAGTAACTATGGAAAAATGGTAAGTAACGATGATTATGAAATAAAACTGATATAATTATCACAGGTACGGATGAGCAGAGCAAACTGTAGACGTAACCTACATGATAGATAACTGATATTGTGGGGGAAACCCCTTAAAATAACTGATATAAGGGTTCCATCAACCAGGAACCGAGCATGACATCATCGCAGCCATTTTGGAATTGTGACGTGATATCCCCTATCAATGCACAATTGTACAAGAAAAAGTAGCTAACTTTCATGTCCAGCCTACTTGAATTGGCCTTGGACGTTTTGCAAAGAGACTCGCCCAGAAGAACACGTTTTCAAGTATGTAAATAAAAAAATCCGTAATGTTCTGTATGGTATTATCCTATAATAGTTGTTTTCTGATAAATTTACAATGAATATTACGAACTCCGCGGAACAATTTGGTCGATTGACCGGTTAAAAATCTCCATTTATCCACCCACATGTTGATCTTACCCCACCCCCCTATCGGGATTAGTTTTCTCCAACAATGTCATATTAAACGGGCATGGAGAGATTATCCACTTGACACAACAGGACAGTTGATTTCGTCTGTTCCATCTGTACAGTCTATGTCATCGTCACACCTCCAAGTATTTGAAATACATGTCATCTCTTCATCCACTCTGCAGCTGAACTGATTATCTCGACATTCACTCGCTGAAATTATATTTTAAGTACATTATGTTTAATGGCATTTTAAGTAAAGCCAAAATAATATTCGTGTTTGCTTTGCCCCACCCCCTAAAGCGGGTCAGTGAGAATTTTCTTACAGGATCTGGGAAATTAGGTGAAAAAAATTCTATGACAAAGTAATAAAAAATTAGGTCGACAAGTTTGGCTGAACAAAACTGGGTCGGTTAAATAACCGTAGGCTACACACGGGTATTCCTTTTGGTCTAATGAACATAACTGTTTGGGGAAAGTCTATTCTGAGGCAGATACATATATACACCCACACACAATAATACAAATATCCCGATAAATATATCTGAAATGCTATCCAACTGGCCTGTTCTATCACAACAGATCTAATCCCACCCCACACCCGACCGGCAACTTTATCTATGCAGTCCGCGATGTCTGAAAATATCACCATAATCACCCATACCCCCTCCCCAGAGACCAATGTGTAACGCCCATTATCCACTGTGCTCATTAGATGGTGTTGCCAGTTTGCCTAGAACAAGGGGAGGGAAGTTTGTCTAGGACAGATGGCGTTGCCAGTTTGCCTAGAACAGGAGGAAAGTTTGTCGACAACAGGAGAAGGAAAGTTTATCTAAAACTGAGGTAGGAAAGTTTGGCTAGAATAGAGGAAGGACAGTTTGTCCAAATATTTAATGTCTGCTTATCTTACCCGTAGGACAGTTTATTTCATCGACGCCATTATCACAGTCCTCGTCTCCGTCACATCTCCATGACAACGGCATACATTCGACGGGTGTCGTACCACAGTTAAACTCCCCTGCTTCACATTCACCTGGATAGAAGTAAGACAATATTGTAAGATCAGAAACTCCAAACAGTAGGATATTATCAACTGTTTTCACTGGAAGAAAACTCGTACGTTATTGGGATGGGGAGTTGGGTGGCCGAATGGTTAGCACGTGCGCGCTGTATCATACGGTCTGCCATTGAGTCAACTGGCGTGGTTTCGATTCCCCGGTTGTACGTGACAAGGAGTAAGATCGTCTGTCCAACCTCGTGGGTTTTATTCGGGTCCTCCGGTTTCCTCCCACTGCTAAAGACCCCTACGCGCAAGCGAATTATTGAGATAAAATTGAACTATGTGTTAGTCCCGAAATCACCTAGTTTGTGTCGAGTTGGCGTTAAACCCCATTTCTCTCTCATTGAGGAGGCTCAGTGGATGTTTCGTTTGATTAGACCTAGGTGAATTTCTCGGGCTATTGGTTCAGGAATATATACGAGCTCTTAAGGCTCCGGGTCTCTAAACAGAAGGTTCCGAGTTCGTTGCCGGATGGCGAACAATAGGGTAATACGATAATGTTTATAAATTTGAAATATTTCATTAATGTTAAATTCTTATTGAACTGCACCGACTGGGCTAATGAAGACCGGCATAGGTTATACATTGTGCTATGAGGAACATTTTGCCCGGCCAGTGGCGCTACGGTATAATCTTATATCGTATTCCAACTGTCAAGGGTTATTTTACCCAATATGTAAATTTGTCCTCGGATTTTTGTCCCATCTGAACGACTAGACGTTTTCCACTGTCTAACCCTCTGGCATCACTGAAAAGGGGAAACCCCGCCGAAACATTGTGGTGAACTTTTTAGGTCAGTAGCGGAAATCGAACACGGGACGTCCAGGTTAGCGAGACAACGTCTTACTTACTGTATTCCTTCATTTCGTTGGGAAATATCTGTTACCCTTAACCCCCACACCCCCGCTGCTCAAATTCCTGGACACCCCCTGAATTCCCCTACATTACAATACATCCGTACCCAACATAATAATAGTTAGGGTAACTAATATAAAGGGAAGCAACTCAAGGTAAAAGAATATTTCCCAAACGTTGTATCATACAAGTGTCAGTCATGATAGACTATCTACAAAAAACCTTAACGTCGGCAAATTTTATTTTATAAAGACAATATGTGAAATCTGTTAAAAAAAAACAAATAAAATTAAATGGTCTATGTAGTAATCAGAAATAGGGGTCAAAACATTATAAGCTTGTAGAAATCCGCACCGAAAATAAAACAGTCGGGTATTTTTTAGGGTTTTTGTGACCTAATTATTGTAGGTTGTGTTTTGGTCATTGACGTCATGAACACAATCTTTAATTATTTAATCAATGATATTTGTGACGTATACTTACTTGAAATGATCATGTTTTCCACTCCACCAAAATACACCAACATTCCGAGTAAAACTATCAGCATCATTCCTGTTCCTGGTGCCATTGTGGAATAAGACCACTGTAGGGACGTTTTACAATCGTCGGTCGTGCAGTTAACAATTAATTCATCATACAGATTTCTGGTTTCTCGGTCTATTTATAAGGTGATAGAGATATCGGGTGATAGGATGACACGGGTTTAAACTAGACTAAGCCGTATAAACTAGTTCTAGTCACATGATGTCAACAATTACAGGATGACCAGTTCGCTGATACCATATTTGGAAGTTAAAGAGACATGTGAGGACTGTCAGAAATTATTCATGTATATAATATAACAAAGCAATGGAGTTTAACGTCCTACTGTTCTGCTTTGAATCGACTAATGAAGACGCCATACAGTGTGCTATGAGGGAAATTTTACCCGGACAGCGACGCTACGTCCTACACTTATATCGAATTACAACTGTCAAGGAATCTTTTATGTGCACGCCAATGTGTACACGGGACCTCGTTTTTTTGTCTCACCCGAATTACTGTACGTGGAAGAACCACGCCGGAAAATCCCGATGGACTTTCTCCGTCAACGCAAGGATCGAATACGGAACCTCCAGGTTAGCGAGTCAACGCCTTATTCACTGAGGGGGGTTGGATGGCTGAATGGTTAGCGTGCGCGCTGTATCATAAAGTCTGTCATTGAGTCGACTGGCGTGGTTTCGAATCCCGGTTGTACGTGGCAAGGAGTAGGGTCGCCTGTCCAACCTCGTGGGTTTTCTCCGGGTCCTCCGGTTTCCTCCCACTGCTAAAGACCCCTACGCGCAAACGAATTATGTAAATAAAATTAAACCAAATGTTAGTCCCGAAATGACCTAGTTTGTGTCGAGTGGACGTTAAACCCCATTTCTCTCTTTCTCTCTCCTTACTCACTGAGCCACCGTGGCTCACAATAAAACAATGGGAACTGAAATGGGATTTAATATTCTGCAAATTTTTGAAATAAAAATAAACCATATGTTAGTCCCGAAATGACCTGGTTTGTGTCGAGTGGACGTTAAACCCCATTTCTATTTATCTATCTACACGCTAACGTGTACAACGAGACCTGGGGTTTTCGTTCCATCCGAAAGACTAGTCACTGTTCCTTTCCAGTCAATTCGTCCTAGCAACTTTCTCGGCCCCACACCGGGATCAAACCCGGAACGTTCTGGCTACTCGACACAAACTAGGTCATTTCGGGACTAACATAAGGTTTTAATTTTATATCAATAATCTTTAGCAGTGGGAGGTTACCGGAGGACCCGAAGAAAACCCACGAGGTTGGACAGGCAAACCCTATTCCTTGTCAAGTACAACCTGGGATTCGAAACCACGCCAGTTGACTCAATGACAGCCATTGACAGACCTTATGATACAGCACGCACGTGTTAACCATTCGGCCATCCAACCACCCCTGGCTCGCTAGTCTGGAGGTGACGGGTTCGCCGATTTTCCGGCATGGTTCCCCCTTGTCAGTGCTGCAGAACGGAGGACCTGACATGGACAGCTGTCTAGTTGTTCGGATGGGACGAAAACCTGAGGTCCCGTGTACACATTGGCGTGCACATGAAAGATCCCTTGGCAGTTGGAAATCGATATGAGAGTATGTCTTAACGCCGCTGTCCGTGCAAAATTTCCCTCAAAGCACACAGCATGGTATATGCCCGCCTTCATTAGCCCAGGTCGCAGCAGAACAGTAGGACGTTCAAATTTATCTCAATAATCCGCTTGCGCGTAGGGGTCTTTTTAGCAGTGGGTTTAAACCGGAGTACCCGGAGAAAACCCGCGAGGTTGTACAGGCGACCCTACTACTTGTCGCGTAAAAGGAATCTAAAAGGAATCGAACCGCCACCACTTGACTCATTGACATACCTTATGATCAAACGCGCAAGCGTTAACCATTCGGCCACCCAACCCCCTATTTACATAAAAACTATGGTGAGTGGTAGCCTATTGTACATGCTCGTTTTTGCGAGTTTGGATTTAAAGGAGCTAAATCGCTAACATTTGGGACCTAGAAATTGACACAAGTGGGTCGGAACTCATATAATACTGTAATATGGATGTATATAAACTGATATACATTCAATGGTTTCCGTTTTTACTCTAATTTCAAATCAGTTATGTTCCGCGAAATAAGCCAACAGTCTCAATCGAATGCAAAATTCTAGCGACTGGTTATTCCAGTCTACATACGCCGTTTGGTTTGGTGCAATATGTCTAGCCTCGTTCCTCGAGTCTCTTGCTAGAACTGGGGCTGAAACGCATTATGGTACACGATTCGTGTACCAATGGTAAAATGTTTATTTTGTCTTAAATATTGGATATCAGAAGCCCATCTTTTTCCGGTAAGATCACAGCATCAATGTTGATTTAAATTGACAAATAATTTATGTTTTCAATGTTGAAGATTTTGGATGATATTGAATTAGAGACTTAGCTACTTTAAGCTCTATCAAAGAACGAAACATAGTGCAATGGTATTTCAAACTTGATAAACTTTAATGTCAGTATAATTCAAAAACAAATGATGTTTATGATATTACACAATATTACGGTATATCGGTGGCCCAGAAAAATACGTGTCTACTATTTAAAGTGGAATGAATCAAAAAGGGTTGTACATATATCATTCACATTTCACATGTAGAACAATATGGATGTTCGACAACATCAAATAGTGTTAACATACTTAAAAAAGAATGTCAAATTATCTTTTGTCGGACAAATATCATGGTTTTAAACCAGAATATTGTGAAAAAGACCATGGTTAGTAGGAACCCAAGGTTGATAGAACTAGGGTTTGTCAAACCATGGGGGGGGGGAGGGGTGTTGGATGACTGAATGGTTAGCGTGCGCGCGCTGTATCATAAAGTCTGTCATTGAGTCGACTGGCGTGGTTTCGAATCCCCGGTTGTACGTGACAAGGAGTAGGGTCACCTGTCCAACCTCGTGGGTTTTCTCCGGGTCCTCCGGTTTCCTCCCACTGCTAAAGACACCTATGCGCAAGCGAATTATTGAAATAAAATTAAACTATATGTTAGTCCCGAAATGACCTAGTTGTGTCGAGTGGACGTTAAACCCCAACTCTCTCTCTCTCTCTCTCTCTCTCTCTCTCTCTCTCTCTGTGTAAAACCATGGGGGAGGGGGCCGAATGGTTAGCACGAGCGTACGCTGTATCATAAGGCCTGTCATTGAGTCAACTGGCGTGGTTTCGAATTATTGAAATAAAATTGAACCATGTGTTAGTCACGAAATGACCTAGTTTGTGTCGAATGGACGTTAAACCCCATTCCATGAATGTTTCTCATAGTATGTCCTAATTAAATCTAACCCTCTTATTGAAATAAGATTATGTCTTAAAATAACTGAGATATGATTGAAATATTTCCTGCCTGTGGCGGCCTTTAAACCTTCCATTAATTGCCATGACAAAGCACATTATCTACATAGTAATTTAGGATGTGGGCGTGGGTCGCACAGTTCCATAAACCTTGATGATAATCACCATGGTTATAAGACACAGGTGTTGAAAGTACCAATAAATATGTCAATTGATAATACTAAAATCTCTTACCTGGATAATAAGGTATTTATAAAATGATTATCTCTTTCTAAACACCTGATACCACCTCTGAAGGTTATTATAAATGAATACGCAAAAGTTACACCCATAAGGGTATTATTATAAAATCAAACATATTGAAATGAAATGGGGTTTAAAGTCCTACTGTTCTGCTCCGACTGGGCTAATGAAGACGGGCATACGCCATACAGTGTGCTATGAGGGACATTTTGTCCGGGCAGCGGCACTATGGCCTACTCTTATATCGAATTCCATCTGCCACGGGACCTTTAACGTGCACGCCAATTTGACACGGGATCTCGGTTTTTCGTCCCATTCGAACGACTAGACTAGATTTTCCAACGTGGTTTCCCCTTGTCAGTGGAGCAGGACGGGGGGCCTGACAAGGGGAAACCACGTTGGAAAATCCTGATGAACTTTCTCGGCCAATGCAGTGATCGAACACGTGTTTACTTTCTGGTGATCTTTAATAATACTACAGCATAAAATAATTTCACAACTTTATTTCTAAGTTGTACTGGCTTTGCAGGTTCCTCGTTCTCAATGATAATGGGTGGTAGGAATTTCTTGGTGAGCTCTAATCCAGCTCGCCTCTACACCCTAATTTATACCCCCTAATTTCTGCAGGTCTTCGATAACCTTGACGTTAATTTCCCCGCCATATAAGAAATAAAACTCTTTATTTTATGATTAGTAGTGAAATACCGCGTTTTATCAGTGAAATAAAAGTGTTATTCCACTGGCTAGCAAGTAGTCCATGTTGTTTTTACCTAAAATGATTGTAAAAACATAAAATAAATAGAACATTTGCCGTTTTGTCGTGAATAACATATTTTATTTCATCTCTATATAAGCAATAAAACGTTTATATTTTCACTCATGCTACGCATTCGTGAAAATATAAGTTTTCTTGCTTCCCGATGAAATAAAATATGTTATTCACGACAAAACGACAAATATCCTCTATCTATTTCCCACAAATAAGATAGGAAACATTACCTATTTTTGGTCTATCAACCATAGGTCAATAAACAGCTAGAATTTGATGACTATTTTGACAATGATTATAATTTGACCAAAATATCACTGTTTTACGAATAACTATACCCACGTTCATTAAGTACGTGAGATTTGACTTTATAGACAAAATTGAAGAAACAATTTTATAAAGACCCAAAATTGTCTCAAGGGCCAAAGTGCTACACACGCGACCTCCAGGCTAGCGAGCCAGCGTCTTATATACCCACTGGCTCCCTTCAAACATATTGAACTAACTAAAATGCAGTGTTTTAGTAAAAAAAAAAAGCCGTGGGGGAATAGCGGAGGGCTAAATGGTCTAACGCTTACGCTTTAAATCATGAGGTCTGTCATTGAGTCAAATGGCGTCGTTCCGTTTCTCAGATTGTACGTGACAAGAAGTAGGGTCGCCTGTCCAACCTAGTAGATTTTCTCCGGGTCCTCCGTTTTCCTCCCACTGCTAATATCCCTAAGCGCATTATTGCAATGAAACTGTGTATCATACGTCAGGTCTCCCGAAATGACCTAGTTTGTGTCAAGTGGACGTTAAGCTCTCTCTCTCTCTCTCTC